TTAGTTGTACATATTGGAGAGATATAAAGAAAAATGAATCTAAACTGTCTTGTTCAGGCTGGAAGTCTGTATTGAGCTGTAATATCACGTCTTGAGCAATGGAAACTTCTGAATGTTCATGTGTGTGTGGACAAATAGTATTCAGAAAAATGATGGGCATTATATAGCTGGCACTGGAGCGAGCATAGAACGTTTTATTTTCTAAGCAAACATGCATAAAGTCAATGGAGATAAAAACACCACTTAGGGACCCTCCCTACACAAAATTTCCCACCTCATATGGAGAAAATACAAAAATTGCTGTGTCAGAAGCATAGTGAATCTCATTCATTAGAAATGATGGGTGCACAGAAAGTCTGAATTACTGAAACTGGGGAAAAAAGATTACAGGTAGATGAAGACAAAAATGACACTCATAAATAGTCAAAATTTTGTGTGAGGATATATTTAGAATTAAATAATCAGCATATACTGAGCAAAATTTTTGAAATCCATGCATAATTTCTTTGGAAGATATGATACATGCTTCCATGAAGTTTCTGAAGACCGACTCATGCTCATTATCTGGTTAAATGACACACTAATTGTTTTGAACATGCTTGTTAACCCATTGTAACTTCTTCTAGACTTAGGGTTTCAAAATATCTTTAATTCTACTGGTCTTGATTTTAAAAACTTACTGATGTTTGGTTGGATTGTCTTTGTGATATGAGCAGATTTTAACAGGTTGTGATTTGCTAATTGAGCCATTAAGGTCAATGTAGAAGTTTTTGTTTAGCATTGTGTTTTCTGCTAGGTTTATGTCTCAATATTTTGGAAGACTGATGTTCTGTATACTGTTCAGCACTTGTAAAATTGGCTTACAGCATTTGAATTTATTTCTGCTTAGTTCTTTTGAGCATATTCTCTTCACTTTTTCCTAATGGGCTTTGAAGGCTTTCATGTAAACTGAGGTCATGTACATATGGGTGATGAATCCTGAGGTATTACCACATACTCTTATTCCTTCTCTAGATGTTTCATTAATGAAAAAAAAAATGTCATCTCAACACTGACCTTCTCCTAATTTCATCTGTTAGTAACAAGACTGAATATACCTGGTTTAATAAATGAAGATGTGAGTTTCATTCAGAAATATGATTGAAGAAAAATTAGACACAGCAGCTGTTTTAGAAAGAAAGCTTGCATTTGAACTATGTAATGGGAAGTTTGCTGAAATGCACAAATCCAAGTTTTAGGCTAAAATGGAGCAATTTGAGATGCACTATTTTAGGTGAAATAGCTGGTACTTTAAAAGCACCTGCTTGGAAATTTTGCTCAGTTGTGTTGTTTTTATTTTACAAAATCATATGGCTTTTTTGAAAGGGTTATTGAGAGTGTTAATAAGTGCTATATCTATAGTTCAACAATTTCTGATAAAAATATCATGTTTAATTCCCATTTCATGCATTCTAAAAGTGTTTCTCATCACTTGTTATGTATTATTCTATTTGTGGTCTTTGCATGCTGTATCAAAGAAGATAATTTAGTCTTTAATATTTAGTGATTCATTGTTTCCTAAAAAGTGAATACAGCTGAATCATTAATCATTTGTAAAGGAGTGGGACCTTCTCTCAACAACTGGTTGCCCTATTCCTCAAATGTGTTGGAAGTGACATGTTAACAGAGGTTTGTTAAGCCAATTGGCTGGAACAAATCCATCTTCAAAAATGGAAACCGAAATTATGACAATGCTTTCACTTATTTTTATGCAAAATTTATAAGGAATGAGGTTGAAATAAATATTATGCTGCCAAAATACATATATCTCATTTTAAGGTATAACAGGATGTAAATTTCAGATCACTTGCATACTATGTTAAAAAGTTGTTAATGTAGCTGATTTTTCCTTTTAAAATATGTGCACATTATCAATTTATGTACAGTCAGTTGCAGGTTTCTGATTATTGCTCATTCTATTTGTTCATAACCAGAAACTCCTAAAGAACCTCCTTCATTCATTTTAGGATTTCTAGATTTGCAAGTTTAAAGTAATCTTAATGCTCAAGACAGTAAAACACTAATAGATTGCCTACTACTACAGTTATTCCTATATCATAGGCAATATACCTGTCAGGTGTATAAATCAAAATTCTAATTTCCCTTAAGTAAATATGTGTGATTTCACTGCGCATATTCGAATCAGAGATAGATTGTGATTCAGCCTTGAATTTTGCTATGCACCGTTCTTGTTTTACCATTCTGCCACCACTACAAATTGCACTTATTTAAGTTGAATTTGACATTTTATACTAAGTAATGCTCCCTTTCCAATTTTCTTATTTCCATGAATATCACTTCTATTCTGTGAATTGCCCAAAAGCAAAATTTGAGTACTCTCAAATTTCTCAGTTGTTTTATTTTCTACTTCTAAGATTCATTTTTTATTATAATTGGAAAGGCAGATTTACAGCGAAGGAGAGATGAGAGAAAGATCATTCATCTACTGGTTCATTCCCCAAATAGCTGCCACCATTGGAATTGAGCTGATCTAAAGCCAGGAGCCCGGAGCTTCTTCTGGGTCTCCCATGTGGGTGCAGGATCTCAAGTACCTGGACCTTCCTCGACTGATTTCCCAGGCTATAAGCAGGGAGCTTGATGGGAAGTGGAGCAACCAGGACATTAACTGGCACCCATAAGGGATCCTAGCACTTGCAAGGAGATTAACCAATTAAGCCATTATGCCAGGTCTCTCTGTCGTATTAAATCTCTTCATTTCCACACTCTGTTAATTTGTACTTTCCAACAATGACAAAAATTTGTAGGTTTAGGGATCTTAACATTGTGTTCACTTTATAAGACATCATTATTTTTACTTATTAAGTTAGCTTACAGGTATATACTCAACATCTACTGTGTGGCAGGCACTGCATTAGACACTGAAGAGAGCAAGTAGATGTTGAGTACTTTATAAAAAATGAAGTCTGTTTTGGTTCATGATTTTGGCATCCAGAAGCACAGTACCAGTATCTGTTTGGCTTCTGGTGAAGGCCTCATGTCTCTCTACACATGGCAAGCATAGGGAATGGCTTGTAGGTACATGTAGAAGTGATCACAGGTTAAGAGAGTGAGCTGAGAAAGCTTAACTTTCCTTATAGTAACTTGAGCTCATGTTAATTCACTCTAATGGAGCTACATAAATCTCTGTGACAATGGAAACCTCATGGCAAGAAAAAAGGCCTTTTCAATACTGCATTACTGTAAATACAGAAAATCAAATTCATCATGAGTTTTGGTGGGGGTGGCAGCAAACCTCCTAAAGAGTCTCTTTGTTTTCAGTTTCCTGCCATTCCGAAACATTCCATACATTGTCATGAAAATCATTTTCATTTACAACTGCTTTTCATCAACTCATTCACCTCATTCAAACATTTGCTTCCTTATAACTGATACAGTGGTTTAGAGCATAGATGATAGTCCTTGATTTGAATTTCAAGTGTGAATTTGAAAAATTCATGCAAAGTTTGTGACACCCAAACTCTATAGGTGGACTGGAAACACAGCATGCAGCACCATAGTATGTGGCTTGTAGTGATTGCTGAATGCATGGAAGCTCTTATGGTGTTTTGTCTATCTCCCCAGCATTATCTACAGGTCCCCTATTAATCTGGCATCCTTTCTACCACTTCAAAAGCACCCCTTACCACTCTGAGCTAAGCTGATCTTATACTGCCTCATAGTGTTTGTCACATTCCTTTGATTTTTTTCCTACTCAAGTCCTATCATTTCTCAAAGGCTTGCATTTTCTACTAGAAAGCATCCTTATCAACTTGAAGCCAGGTTTGATTTATCCCACAATGATCGTCCGTTCACTTTCATTTAGAATCTCATACACTTCACTTCTCACTTAATTATAAGTCTGTTTATTTTTAAAATATTACTTGAATTTCTAAAAAACATTTCCAAGAGTTGAAACATTTGCAATAATAATATGAATTCTTTGAGGGAAGAAATAATGTCATAAACTGTGCATTTTTCTCAGGACTTAAAATGGTTTTCACAATATTTGTTAAATAGTATGGGTTTGAGTCATAAGTTAGGTTCCAATGGTCTTCAAATAAAGTTATATGGTTGTATGGGATGCACTGACAATACACCACAGTGTACAGTGTGGGAAGAAAATAATGTATCTTCTATTGATATTTATTTTTATCACATCATTCTGATATTTTATTTTAGTGTATGGTCATAATGTGCATATTATACATTTATATTGTATACACACATATAAAATATACACATGACATATGTCTATACGTTTATATATGTTTACACACATATATGCTATATACACACATGTATATACAATTATATGTGTATATATATATTACATGTTCAAGAAGTTTTAATTATGGAATTCCAAATAAATTGTTTTTAATCTACAGTTTTTAATTGAATTATAGAGATTTGACCAAAACAAAGTCAAGTTAACTGTATTTTGAGCACTTATTGCGTTTTGGTGCTATTCTAAATGTTTAATGCGCAGTAACTCACTTGAGTTTCATAGCAGTTTTGTAAAGCAGCTGTTATAATCCTCATGTTGTAGAAGAGGAAGTTGAAGAACAGAGAGGGAAAGTAACTTAGTGCAAGTTTACATACTGAGTCAGTGATGGAGCCAATGTTCAGAACTACACCCATTTGAATCCAAAGCTGATTCTCTCTCTTCTGGAAGATTTTTAGTCAGACACTTCAGTTTGTTTAATTGACATAGAATTATTTAATTGCCTATTTCTTAAGTGATTCTTGGCAGTTGTGTATTCCAAGGAATTGTTCCTTTTCCAAAGTCAATCCTGCTAATTAGTGCACTCCAGTACATGCCTATGTTCTGGAGTGCCTATACATTTTCTGAAAATGCTGTAGAATGGATGTCCTCTTACTAACAGCTTAACCAGATTGACATGAGAACCATGAAGAGGTTTCAGAGAGCAGAAAACCACCCTAAGAAAAACCAAATGATCAAGTGACTTGATTATATTTGTTTCTGAAAATATGACAATTCAAGAAACAACTACAAGTCTTTTTCAACAAGTATATTTGACAACTCTGTCCCAAATTACTGGACTAGAATCGCACTGCTCTACAGTGAAGTCTAAAGGCTTATCTTTTGTTGCAAATGATTATATGGCATCATCCTATTCCTTTATATCTTCACCTCTGGAAAGAACAACTGCACAAAAACTCATTAAGACATTAATGATTGAGGCAACTACATTTGCATCAGAAGTGTCATCTACTTCAGCAACCATTCCTCTACCTACCAAAAGCATGTCTATAGGCGCTACTAATAATAATTCCAGGAAAGCAACTACAGTTCTTTCCTCAGAAAACACAAGTACAAAAAAAATGGTTGAAACCATGATCACTGAGACATTTCATCCAAATATGGCTACTAATTTTCCATCTACATCCAGATTTATCAAGAATTTTATTACTCCAAACATTAGTATTCAAATCTCAACCAAGCATTATGAAACGAGTATCTTTATTATCCTCATCTACTGAGTCACTGTTCATGCTTACAACCTCTTCACCCAGATATAGATCCACAGATAGTGGGACATGATCTATCTCCACAGCATCCACAGCCGATGCGGCTAACCCCGTGTCCAGAGTAGAACAGACTTTTTCTACAATGGCTCGGCTGGGGGCTGCATTTGCAATCCCTCGTGAGTCTGCGCTCATCTCCACATTTACTCCTGTGGTTTCTGTATTTCCTAGAAACCAAAAAGTGCCTACATTGGCAACAACTGATACACAAATAGCATTTACAGTTCATTTGGTGACATTCCCAACAAGGCCTAGTCAGACCATATCCTCTCTAAGAACAGCTAAGGCAAAATCAACATCCACAAATGTACAGAGTATCTCTTCATCTGCAGCCATGGATCTCATGTTTACCTCAGTGTCAGAAAACATCTCTGGGGCCCTTTCTTCCGTGATATTCTCCACATTCACCGGAACCCAGAGTCCACAGCCAGGTATTAACTGTGAACCAACACACAGCACTTTCAGTCCTGGAATTGCATTTGCACCTACAGTTGGTGAACACAGGATTACTTTGACTTCTTCCATAACAGCTTCCATACCCAAGGCATCTGAGTCAGATCTCACATCTAGAACTGAAGAAAATCCCTATCTAGTCTCCACCAATATGACTACTTGGACTTCCAGACCAGATCAGACATCTATGAAAAAAATCACCTTGCTTACATTTACGGCTAATAAAAATTTCACACCAATATCTCATGGGAGTACTACTAATTCAGAATATTTATCTTCAGCTATTAATATTATCAACCTATCAGAAACATCCACAGAGAGTCAGGCTATGACTACTACTGACGCTAGTGCAGGAAAATATACAACAGCTCTATCCAAATTGACATCTCCACGATCTTCTAATTTCTCTGCAGCTCTCCAAACCCAATGTGTAACTAATATGCTTAAGTTTAAACTTACTACCTTACTACTAAAAACCAATGCTATGCCTACAGTAGTTGCAAGTGAACTTTCTCCACATAGGGGACTATTATTCCAGCAGTAGGTATTGCATCAACCCTTACTGTTCAACAAAGTTTTCCTACTAAAGAAAGCACTTTTGAGATTACACAAACAGAAACAAATGATGCAAGTGTGTTTGCAGGTATAACAGTGCTTATGCTCAAATCTACAACAACAAAAAGACTCAATATTACCATGACCAAAAAAAAAAAAAACAACTTCCCCTTATCTTAAGGGAAAAAACAACTAAGCGGGCAGTAACTGAGGTTTCTGCACTTTCAACAGTGCTGGAAACAACAGGTGAATCAGCACAAATGTTAACTTCAATCGCTGTTTCCCCTTTTCCTGACACAGACATGTCGACTATCCCATCAGACGATGAAAGTTCATCTACTAAAGTGGAAGGAAATTGGCTGTCAACAAAATGGGTGAGTAGTACATGTGAGAATTCATCCAAGGTACCTATAGAAATCTTTCATTCCATCTACACCTATTCAGCACATTGGACTTCTGAAAATCCCAGGAGGAATTCTGGGAGCACACACATATTCCTAGAAGCCCTAAGTGCTTCTGCTACAAGAATATTTGGGAACAATTTCACCACCACCTCCACAGACATGCCAGCTACATCCTTGCCTGCTTGTTATCTTACAGACTTCAATTACTCATTCCTCAGTACTTCTTACTCCTGTCCCTTCCATGTCCTTACTGCCAGTTAATCTCTCTGCTGTTACCTCGATAGTGATACCTGACAAGACAAAGGCAACCATATCTGAGCACTCTACACTGGTCAGGGATTTTTCCACATCTGCGCTCTCAGACATCTTGATTTTCTCATCAGCTACAGTGACCATGGCATTGGTAGCACCATTGGCTCAGACTGTTTCCATACCCAATGAGACTTTGGCTACCCATTATGACTCAATTCATATCACTTCAAAGGCCACAGTGACCTCAGCCAGGATGACACTCACCGTACTGTTTGTTCTCACAAAAACTTCACTCACTGAGAACCCACATTCCTGTTACAAGTAAGGCTATCAGCCTTCTCCCCTCAGTTGCCACAGTAACTCCATCCACACAATTTAGTGTCTGCTCAAAACTTCATCCTGACAGCATTCCTACTATATCCTCTACTCCTATAACATCAACTAAGTGTTAACTGGTAGTGATTCAATTCATATCTCTGGCAAAGGAAATTTCCACCCATGCTCTAAGCTTCTTGTATACTTCTAGTACCAGTGGAGATCTGGTTACTTTGACTATTGGCACAAAAGAGAATTTTGCTACTGATAAGACCAGGCCTCTGAACACCTCTTCCCACAAGCTTACTACTTCTGTAAACATCCACATTTCCCAATCTTCCACACAAGACTCCATCCTACTGGGGACATCCTCTTTTTCCTTATCTTCTAATCAAAACCACATGATCACCTCCCTAGGAAAAACTCCCATCAAGAAATTCTTTCGTTTTTGACTTCCAGGTTGTTTCAAACTTGGACATGATGAATGCAAGATTTTCTCGGACTCCCCAAACTTCCAGCCATAAAACAAATTCATCTGCAGAAATTCCACTTGGAACTCCACCTGTTGGGAACCCAGCTTCATCTCGTACTTCTGGGAGGCTAGCTTTCCCTCCACAAGATCTTTCAATCAGTGCTTTACTGTATCCTGACAAAGAAAGCACAACTGCCCTTTCAATACATACACCCAGGACTATGGAAGTTGTAGTAAGCTCCACCCTTGAGGCTCTGCCTATCTTATACTGCCAGGATACTTCATTTGTAGACACCACAGCTTCCAGGACAATTAGAATATCAAAATCTATGAACATCAACACAGCTCTTTCAGACTTCCTTTCACTTAGGACTCAGCCTGGAGTGATCTCAGTTGCTTCTTCCATTTCTGAAAGCACACGTACTTTTCCCAAACCCTTTCCTCATTCCACAATTGGACTTTCTAATAGCAACTTCATAGGCATCACTACTGATGGAGTCACTGCAGCCCTTTATATTCCAAGTGCATCTATAGCAGCTGTTGGTGAGGCATCTAAGAAAACATACATTCCTATGTATCAAATGTCCTCATTGCCAGTTAATGTCACTGCCCTGATCTCTAAACAAGTTACTGATACTACTGTTATACCAATGACTAAGTCTTCTAAAATAACACATCTGGGTTGTTTGAAATGTCCCACTACAGACACTTCTGCTGGGCCCATGTTTGAAAAGAACTTGAAGTCAGTTAGTGGCTCTACAGCAATTTCTCCTAATAATTCTTCAACAGGCAAGTCGTTCTCTACTTTATTGCCTTCAGTTATCCCTAGTACTACAATGACAACAAAAATATCTGCATTGGATTTCACATCTGTAGCATATGTTAGGTCTACTTCAAAAGGTACAATGGCTTCCTCTGTTTGCACTGCTTCAGAAACGGCAGAGGTACCTTTCAGGATAATGCCTACATCACCTTCTTCAACAGAGTCAATTTTTAACTCTGTAGAAACCATTCCAGTGTCTACTGTGGATGGGATAGTGACTGCGCTTTTCAACATCACTGCATCTTCTGTACTGAGTTCTGAGAATACTGATGATATTTCCTCAATTCCAAAGACCAGCTTTTCAACATTCAAATCTACAGTCCAACACTCATCACCAACAAATGAGACTACAACTGAAGATATATTACCAGAGATTGTTAACAGTCCCCTATCCACTATGTGCGATGGTAGAATGACAGCTAACACAAGTACTTACTCCACAATGGCTGTCCCTGAAAATGTACTTTCACCTACTGCTTCAGATAATCTCCACACTTCCTTGAATACTCAGGTTTGCCCATCTTCCCCATATTTAATCAGCTTTAACAGAACTCCAGGATCCATAAAATGTATGAAAGCTATCATCTCTACTACAGAAAAGTTGACTTTGATAGAAAACACTTTCAAAGCCGAACTACCGAAAATTGCTACATCTATGAATACCCCTATTGCATCCCATTCATTCTCTTGGGCATCATCATTGTATTCACCTCATACCACTGAAACAGAGAACTCTACTACAAAGACTTCTTTTCTTCCAACATTCCAAATGGTTGAATTCCCTTTTCTGGTGACAAGAATTACATCTTGTAAAACCCGGTCTCTGCCTATGACTTTATGGAATATACCCACAAATAAAGATTCGCAGCTTCCAGTTTCTACTACAACTCATGCACCCACATCCAGCAAAGTAGAAACAGAGACTCTATACCTTGTCACTTGTTCTTTATCAACATTCACAGACCCTCAAATGGGCCCAATATCTGTAGATGTTGAGGAAACACCATCAATTATTACACCAGGAATTTTTCCTCCTTTTGGGTTTTCTGATGACCCCTCTTTAGCAACATCTTCAAGAACTAACTCTACCACATTGGCTGATTTTAAGAACATATTTGAGAAAATAACCACATCTGGAACTGCTGGGACTGCACCAAATTCTTCTGGTACCATTTCAAGATCTATAAACTCAAAGGCTACCACTTCCTCTGTGCTGACTTCGATTTTGTTTAGTTTTTCTTCAGCTTCCTCTCTGACAATTGTATTTAATGCTCTTCATGTTATAAGTTCCAAGATAATAGAGGGGTTAAAATCCACATTTAGGACTTCTGAAATGATACCAACATACTCATTCAATAACTTTACAACACTACCTTTTGTTAGAGCTAGCAAAATGACTCCTATACCTACAATGGATGGTATCGCTACTGGCGTCCCAGTTTCTCTCCCTATGCTTATGAAAGTCACAAATGACAGTGTTTTCATTTCCATATCCCCTGAAGTATCCTCCAGAACCACTGAGACTGCCAATTCCAGGACTTTGTCTCAATTTCCATTCATTAGTGGAAAGAGTATATCACTGTCTGTAATTGACTACACCCTTTCTATTGGTTCCACACATTTGCCTAGCCCCACAATAACATCTGTGAGGAGCAGAATTCCAGCTATATCAGCATCTCTGATTTTAATTCTTCCCAAGTTCACACTGGATTCTCCTATAAATATAGCCACTATCATATCCACTGCTATTGGACCCACATTTCCACTCATATTCACTGGAGTGACACATAATTCCATACCAACGGTGTCTTCAATAGTCTCTCCTTTTGGGACAACTTGGATGGACTCCATGCCTTCTTCTCCATCTACAGAAGCATTGATTTCACCTCTTGGCAACACAGGTACAGACACTGTTCCATTATGCAATGTGTCCCTAACAGAAGCAAACCATGTATCCTTGAAGGCATGACCAGTTCTCTGAAAGCAGAGAAAATGCAGGTGTTACCTTCCCACGTGGGAGAACCTTGTCCAAACAGAATCCTCTGGCCATATTTTTATTTTTGGTTTTGTTTAAATACAATGAAAATATGGTTTTTTTCACTCAATAAGAGTTTTTAAAACTTATTCAGTTATTTATTTGTATGGCAGGTGACAGTGGGACAGAGACAAAAAGGTAGAGTCAAGTGAATGCCCCTAACATTCAAAGAAGGACCAGGCTGAATCCAGAGGCTAGAAACTCCATCTAGATTTCTCACATGCATGGCAGAGATGAAATACTTTACCCAGCTTCCACTTCCTTCCCATGTACATCAGTAGAAAGCTGTGTTGACAACAGAAGAGCCAGTACTCAAAACAGTACTTGAGATGTGGGTGTTACAGCTGGAAGTTAACCTCCAATGCCACAATGCCTGTCCCTTAATATATTTCTTAGCCTCCTTTTGCATTTGTTTTGTTCTTAGTGTTCTGATTACAGTGCTGCCACTAAGAACATGGGACTGGAATCTCATGCCTCAGTGTATGTTCTTAGGGGTGACAAGGTTGGTCACACGTCAGAAAATAGCAGAAGTTACCCTGTCCAGCTATTTCAGTTCTTCTTGTGCAGGTGTTAACCTTCTAAAATTCCCACCTCAAGCTGGCATAGAATGTTTTTTTTGGCCAGGGTGTATTTGGCTTCCACAGTGTTCAAATTCTCAATATTCCTTCAGCTTTCAGCATTCCAAAATAGAAACTTATTAGGTTATACAAAAGAATGAAGCAAATAAGAAGATAAAAATATGAAACAGAAGACCTAGGATGAGAAAAAAAATAGTTTTCCTTCAAACAAATGATCTTGTAACACTGTATTCAGCTTATTCATGAATGGACTGGGAATCTGATGGACAACGAAAATAGATACATTGGAAGATTTGTAGAATGCCCATCAGGTGTAGAACTCAGGTGACTTCCCAAAAATGAGATAATATCTTATTTTATTTTTTTCTTGGTTACAGAGCCAAAATCTTTGGTTCTTGACGTGGAGCTAAAGTTCAGGAATAAGCTGTCATTATCTAGTTTGCTTTAAAACAGAAAGAACCTTTGATTAAATTTACAGAAGTTAAACTTCTTGGAAGAAATGAATTATATTAACCTTTCATGCTTAATTACAGTTTCCTTCTACAACATTGGAATGAGATTCTTTGTCTTTGATGAAAAGCCAAGGATCTTTATTACCACTTTTATTCATGAAATTGCAGAAGACTGGGTAAAATATTTTGAATATTTATGATACATATAAATATATGTGAATATGTATATGTATATGACAAAGATTGAGTCAATTAAACCAAGGCTTTACTTTTTTTATCAGTAATCTGTTTCACAGCTAATACATTTAATTTTACTGTAAATCTGTTCTGTAAGTAATACCATGGGAATATATGCAATTCTTTCCAAAGAAGCAATGTGGAACTATTTTCTGAAATGTTATTATCCAAACTTGTTAATATCTGTACATTTCTCTACAGTGACACAAATTCTGAAATTTTGTCAAATTTTCATATTTGGGAAAGTGAACAGCAATGATAATTAAGTTATTATGTTATCACATTTAAGCATTTTTGCTTTCTGCTTTTAATTTTTATATGGCAATGAATACTTTATTCATCCTTATGTTATTCTGATAGCAAAACTAACACGCATTCTGTAGCAAATTAGATACTGGTATCTAAAACAGAAAGTAAATATCCTCTCTAATACTGCTCCTGGCATTTTCTCCTCTTAATGGTATAAGGTACATTCTTTTGGATTTATTTGTACTTGTTATAACACCCATGCATATGTGTTCTTTCACAAATAGTTGGACTTAATTCTGCTATTCTTCAACTTGCTTTATTCCCACACTTAAGTGTGTATCTTAGAATATTCATGTTGGTAATTATTAATTTACCTCATATGCTTTAATAGATGCCTAGGACTTCACTACCTTTTGTAATGTAGTTTTCTTTTCTAATCAAAATATCCATAGTTGAACCTATAGTTGTTTTTGTTTTCTATATATTTATAAAGAATGCTAAAAAATAATGCTCTTGTAGCACATTGAGTGGCACTTGAATATTTGTACATGATAAATTCCTATAGTGGAATTGCAAGATCAAATAACGTGAACATTTTAATAGCTTTCATTGAATAGTCTCCCAGCTAACTGACAACAGGTTTAAGATCCCAATGTGAATGATCATATCTGCTTCCATTCTACCTTTATCATCACTTACTTTCAAGTGTACATGGCGTTTTCACGTACTTGAAAATGAGTTAGTGCTACAACAATATACTGCAGATTAAATGACTTGAAGGCCAGATATTTGGGTGTTTTTTGTTGTTTTTATTGTTATTGTTATTTTTCTGAAAACGTTTTGTACACACATAAATTCCCCCGCCACCTCCTCTTCTTTCCCATTCTTTCCCCCACCATTTCCCACATATTATTACAATAATACTGTCCTTCATTAACAGTCACAAGTCAACACTGCCATTTAAGTGTATCATGGCATTGTAGGTATAGATAATGGTAGAAAATCTAGTAATGTATTATCAAGGTGTATTTAACTCTGTCACTGGGGATTCTGCTTTTACTTGGGAGTAGAAATGCATACTGAAATGTATCTTCACTTCACAGCATGCTTGTCTCCATTATACAGTTCCTCTAGAGAAATATGTGTATATACATGCTTACCTATATATCTATTGATCATATATTTCTCATGTAGGTTGCCTTGCATCAGAGAGAACATATGGTATTTGTCCTATTGGGAATACCTTATTTCACTGCGCATAATGGTTTCCAGTGGGGACCCTTTTGTTGCAAATGGTAGAATTTCATTTTTCTTAATGACTGAGTAATATTCCACAGAGTAGATGTACCAGTCTTCTTATCCATTTTTCTTTTGATGAACATCTGGGTTGTTTTCATGTCTTCACTATTGTGGATGGTTCTGCTATGAATACGCACACACAAATCACATTCCTATATGCAGATTTCACTTCCTTTGGATATATTCCCAGAAGTAGTATAGCTGGGTTGCATGGTAGATCAATTTTCAGTTCTCTGAAAATTCTCCATACTGTACAACCTACACTCCCACCTGCTATGGGATAGGGTGTTTTTTCCTCAGATCCTCACCAGCAGGTGTTAATAGATTTCTGAATGTAGGTTAATGTCACTGAAATTAGGTGGAACCTCAGTGTGATTTTTATTTATATTTCCCTGACAGCTAGAGAGTCTGAACATTTTTCATGTCTATTAGTCATTTAAATTTGTTTTTTTAAACACCTGCTCAATTTCCTTCACCCATTTCCTCACAGGGTCGTTTGTTTTGCTGCTGTTGAGTTTCTGAAGCTCTTTGTAAATCCAGGGTATTAGTCCCCTATTGGTTGTATAGTGGGCAATGATTTTCTCTCATTCTATTGGTTGCTTCTTCAGTTTGTTGATCATTTCCTTTGCTGTACAGAAGCTTTTTAGTTTGCTGACATCCCATTTGTTTATTTTGACTTCTACTGCCTATGCTTTTGGTGACTTTTCTAAGAAGTCTATACATCTTTCAGAGTGCTTCCTATGTTTTATTCTAATAGTTTTGATGATTTTGGTGCAGAAATTTTGGTCCTTGATTCATTTAGAGCTGATTTTTGCAGAACATGAGAAATGGGAGTCTTATTTCTTACTTCTGCAGGCTGGCATCCAATTGTCCCAAAAGCATTTATTGAAGAGACCAAACTTTCTCCATGTTTGTTTTCCTAGTTCTTTTGTTAGATTAGTTGGGTATACATGTGTGGGCTATCTTCTGAAGTTTCTGTTCTGTTCCATTGATCTTCTCTGTTTAATACCAGTTACCAGACTGTTTTGATGACCACTTCCCTTTACTATGTCTTGAGATCTGGAATTGTGATTCCCCCAGCTCTATTTTTATTTTTCAGGATATCTTTGCCTTATTCACGGTCTCTTGTGTTTCCAAATGAAGTTTTGTAACATCTTTTCTATTTATGGAAAGAATGTTGTTGGGAGTTTTAATGGGGTTTTATTGTATCTGTATATGGCTTTTGGTAATATGGACAGTTTGTTGACATTTATTCTACCAATCCAGGAACATGGCAAATTTCTCCATTTGTTAATCCCAAAGTTAACAGAAAAAAGAAATAATAAAAATAAATGAGGAAACAACCCAAATTGAGACCAAAGAATAATACATAAGAAAAATGAATCAAACAGCTAGTTCTTTGAGAACATTAGCAAAATATATTCTCTACTAACAGAACTAACAAAAAATGAAGGGAAAAGATATGAATCAATAGAATCAGAGAAAAAAGTAACAATGAATTTTCAGACATACATAATATTCAGGACCTATTACAACACCGATACCCCAACGAATTTGAAGATCTAGAAGAAATGGATAGACTTAAGAACACATACAATCTACCAAAATGAAATCATGAGGCAATTAAAAATCTCAATAGACCTATAACCAGGAGAGAGATTCAATCATTAATTAAATCCTTCTCAACAAAGAACAATCAAAGACCAGATGCCTTCACTGCTGAATTCTACCAAATATTTCAAGAGTTTACCTCAATCCTGCACAAAACTTTCAAAGCAATATAGTCAATTCTTCCAAATTCTGTCTATGAAGTCAGCATTACCTTAATAGCAAAGCCAAATAAAGACACAACAAAGAAAGAGAACTACAGACTTAAGTCCCTTATGAGCATGGATGTAAAAATCCTCAGCAAAATTCTAGTCAACAGAATCCAACAATAGATTCATCAAACAGATAATGAATTCCACCCAAAGAAGGGTAGAATTTGAACCTGGCATGTAGGAATGGTTTAACATATGCAAATAAATAATGTGATACACCACATCAACAAACTAAAGAATAAAACCCATAAAAGAGTTTGGCAGAGCAGCAAGGTACAAAATCAATTAACATAAAGTGATGGTGATAGTATACACAAATAACTCCATGGCTGAGAAACAATTTGTATGTACAGTCTCCTTTAAAATAGTGCAGAAGAAACTTAAATACCCTAGAATAAATCTAACTAAAAACGTGAAAACCTCTAGGATGAAAACTGCAATACTTCAAAAAAAGATACAGGAGACACTAAAAGACAGAGAAATTTACTATGTTTCTGGATCAGATATTTGTTTTCTTATAGAGGCTGAAAGTCCTAGATCAAGATGTTCACAGAGTTGGTTCTTGGAGAGGTCTCTGTGCTTGAGATGTAGACTGTTTTTTTCTCCCTGTGCTATTATACAGCCTTTTCTGTGTGCTTACACATCTTTTGTTGGACATTGGTCCTAGTGGATTATGGCCTTCACCATTATGACTTTCTGATGGCCTTACCTACAAATAACATGGGTAGGTGTCAGCATTTGAATTTGCAGGGAGGGCACATTTCAGTTTATAACACTTGGTAAAATGTAAACTGAAAAACTGAGTGGAGCAGATGGAAATGTTAGGTCAACAGAAATAATGAATGCAGCTTAAAGATCATGTCATCCCAGGTGACTCTCCTGGCTTAAAATAGAGAAGTTGGAACAACAAAATGGATTTTTTTTCTTTTACAGCTGAATTCTGTATTTCAAGACACTGAAATTTCTCTTGCTAATTTGGCTATCCAAATAAAAGGCAGGTATGTGAATGCCGACTACGTGTGGTTCAAATAGCAAGCCGGGGACATTACATGGTTTTTCCTGTCCAGAGGGGTTTTCTTTGTTTACATCATTGGGAAATTAGGAGCTGTCATATTTATGTAATTTTATTTATATTGAAAAGGCAGATGTACAGAAAGAATGAGAAATATAGAGAAAAACTTTCCATTTGCTGGTTCATTCCCCAAATAGTCAAAGTGGCCAGAGTTGAACCAGTTCAAAGCCAAGAGCTTCTTCCAGGTGTCCCACCTGGACGTGGGGTCCCAAGGCTTTGAGCTGTTTTCCACTGCTTTCCCAGGCCACAAGCAGGGAATTAGAAGGGAAGTGGAGCAGATGAAACATGAATCAGTGCCCATATGGCATCCCAGCACTTGCAAGGGGAGGATTAGCCAATTGAGTCTTTGTGTCTGGCCTGTAAATTCCCTTTGGGAACAGGAAAAAAAAATATTTGTTAGTACTGCAGCATATAACAACAGCTGGAAAAGTAAATTGAAGAAAATTAGTAGAGAAAGAAGTAGAATTAGATTGAATTAACTCTATTACTGCCTTAATCTCTAAAATTTTATAATTGTATGAGATAGAATAAACTTCCTTAAAGGGATGAAGAGTAAGGAACAGCTAATGCATGAGGATTCTAGAGGACCTCTTGTCAAATAGAAAGTTTGAAGGGAACTTGAATGTACAATGGAAAGAATGCTGACTAGTTCAAGATTTGCTGGGGACATGTTTTTCTGAAGGTGAGGACAGTGAGATGAGCAGGTACCAAATAATTTCAAGGAAGCCATGGAAAAGACAATTGGCATCTGAGAAACAGCTCCTTTGCTCTTGCTCTACATGTATCAGGAGACTTCAAAAACTTTGTGAAAGAAATAGAATTAAAACATAGGCTTAATTTAGTGTAGAAACATTTGAAATCCATGCATAGTTTTCCATAATATGCATTTTCAGTAACTTCTTTGTGGTGCCCTCTTCTATCAAAGGGATACCCCCAAAAAAGCTGTTTGAAAAGCAATTTAATTCTGTTAAGGCATAGCAAAATGAATTGTCCAATAATAAATAAATAAGGAATAAAGAAATCCTCTGCACACTGGGAATTTCATTTCTTTTACATATTCAAATATAGATAGGCTCAATATAAGAGTTTATATAAATGGATGGAAGACACTTTATTGTGTAGTCCCTTTAGCTAACTTTATTTTTGTAAAACCAAGTGGCTATGAAGTCCAGGTGTTAGCATTGTAGGGTCTTGGCAAGGGTCTTGTGGCAGACAGCAGAGAGAGGAGAAGCTCCGAGTCTCTGTAAAGGTGATAAATCTGTTCCTGTGGGTTCAGCCCTCATGACCTAATCACCCCCAATGGCTCCCTCTACTTCCTAATACCATCACATTGGGAATGAGGCTTCAGCATACAAAGTTTGAGTGGACACATACATGCAGTCCATAATGGTCGAATTCCAAGGGGAATTGGAAATTCCTGGGGTATACAATATTCTTTCATAAAATTGTATCTGTGGGGTTGGTCATTTGACCTAGCAGTTAAGATGCTGTATGGACAGCTCACAGTTTGTATTGGAACTCCTGACTTGGAGTTCTGATGCTGTTTACAGTTACGGCTTCCTACTGATGCACACCCTGGGAGGTATCAAGTGATGGTTCAGATACTTGAGTCCCTGCTACCCACATTGAGAAACCAGATTGAGTTACTGATTCCTGGCTTCAGCCTGACTCAGCTCTGGCTATTACAAATAACTGAAAGATATCTTCCTCTCTATCTTTCAACTAAATATTATAAGATAAATTAATAAAAATCGTGTTTGTTGATGATCTCATTATGAAAGTAATGTATGGTAATTTTACAAAAGCTTGAGGCTTCATAGAAATATAATCATATACATAGTGAAATTCTCCTATCCCCAACCCTCCAGCAACTCTTGTTCACAGTTTATTTAAATATTCCTGTTTTCATACATTTACAAAGAGAATGAGATCCTATTCTACAGGTTACATCTTTCCATGTTTTCTAACACATCATGTATATCTTTTCAAGCTCATGCAAGCTGATCTAGTTAATTCATTTTAATTTCTTAGGATGTATGTGTCCAGCTATCCAATAATGTATATTTGAACAATTTCCATCCTTGTTTGTAGATTTGTATGCACCCTTGTTGGTTCTATTACAGAACAGAATTCTGAAAGTGGAAATGCTGGTTCAAGGCTTGCATTGTGGTGTGCAAACAATGACCAAATTCATTAAAAATACATCTTGGAGCCCTATACTAATTTTAATTTCAAGCTTTAGGGATATGACAAGATAAGGTCCATTAGTCTATATATGTTCAGATTGTCTTTTTTTCCTGACCTTTGATACTGTGTTTTATTGTTTCATTTTCAATAATTTTTGATGCTTTTGATACAGAAACACTTCTGAAGAAGAAATGGCCATATACAAAGCTATTGTAAGTAATTTTTCAAAATGAATGTAATTTTGACCTATATTATACTTGATTAGATATAAATAAATAGCTCTTCCTCCATATGTGTTTGGCAAGTCTTGGTTATGAAAACTGAGGGTCAATTTATCACTTCCTTTGGAATTGGTGCCAAAGTTCATCAAGAACACCATCCTTTGCTTTTCTGAACTGTCCACATGAGGCACATTTTGTGGTCTGTAGGAATGTTGAGAGATGGGGAATTGAAATTTTGGGGTTATAGACATATTGCAAAAAAGCCTTGAGCCACTTGTTTGTAAGATTGGCATCACACACACACACACACACACACACACACAATCCACTTTTACTTGTATGGATTTGAACTCAACGAGTGACAAAATTATTTCTTGATATCACCACCCTAATTCTTAGCACTGCTTCCACTGTCTATGCCTTTATAATTGTATACCCTGAAATGATTAGTTAAGCTCATGACTTTCAAGGTATTTAAATATGAAATAAATGTTTTAACTATAAAAAATGCAATCAAGCCTGCAGTGCCTTCCAAATTAATTCCATCATTTATTTTTTTTTTCTGTAAGTATCTGAGTCAGAATTTCACATTTTAGCACATTGTGGATAGCACACTATAACTAAAATTCATCTCAGGCAATAAATGTGAAGGCTTTTTGTCGATCCTGTGGTCAGGCTGCCTGAACTGGAATCCCTTTTGTTCCAATTTCAGACATACAATTGAATTAATTTATGTCAGCAATTTAATTCATCTCATTGTGCCTCAATCTCCCCACCTGTGCAATGAAGGCTGCTGGAAAGTGAGGAGGAGACAATTTGTGTTAAGTGCTTAGCCTATGACTTAAAAACCTAATTAACACTTTATTATTATGATTAGCACCATGTTGATATCCAGATATTCTGAATCTCCTCTTAGTGCTATAATTTTTCAGAGGCTCAGTTTCCTCATCTAGAAAGTACGGTAGTTATCCTTGCATCATCCACCCTACAGGGCAGGCATGGGAATTAAAGCACATTGCTGTTTTGCAGTTGGTTTACCAATGGCAATGTGATGCATAAATATTAAGCAAACTTGTTATTGCTGTTGTTAGCAGTAAGTCTTGTTCTCATTTGTGATGTTTGTTTAAAGATTTCAGTGACCATGTATTTTTCTTTTGCATTATTTGGAACAGAGAGAAGGACAAGGAATGGCTACAGTTTCCCATGTACCATACAGGTAGGAGATGAGTTTATTCGTAGCTGGTACATTTGGGTCTGAATTATTTCCATTTAATTCCATATGTACAGTCATTTGGTCAGAGTTGTCAAAAGAAGATAAAAGCACCTTATGGCTATATTACAGATGTTGTAATTGGCTCTTTCCTTCCAGAAGAAGGTTGATTTCAGTTGCTCATGGCTTAGCCTCTTTGTGGTGAAGAGGAAATGGGTCCAAAGTGGTTACAACTGGAGATGGAGAGATGTTTTATTCAACAAGCTCCATGAATTACTTAGCCTGAAAATTGAAAAAAATATATAGAACCATACCCCATTCTGTTCACAATTGTGATTGGTGAAGCTCCTTCCAGCATCCTTGTTATTATTATTATTATTAGCATGCTTAATGTACATCATGAAGAATATATAGTCAAAGATGAGTCATAGAGAGGTCATTGAAATGTTCAGGGTATTGCAACAGAAGGTTTATTACCAGCAAGAGAATAGAATTCAGAAGGAGTCCTCCTCTGTCTGGTTCTCTGTAAAATGAGAAGAGATAGACTTCAAAGGTAATGGACAGCATAAGCAGAAACATCGCCCAATACAGGACAGGACGTGAGTAGGCCTTGCCTAGACTGGACATAGCAATTTGGAGTGAGCATAGTTAAATTTAGCTTTTAACTCAGCAGATGTGGTTTTAAAACCTACAAATGCAAATGGAACAAAAGGCATAGGTAAGTTTATGAATCTGACATGTGTTTCCTGATGCAATATTACAGAATTTACAATGTTTGAGGACCTTGCTAAAAAGGCTGGGGTCAAGGATAATTCTATTTTTTTTATATCCTTTAGCTGACAGAAGTATTAGGTAGGTATGACATAGTAGGTGACCACGTAAAATGTTTTCTTCCCTACAGCTCAGCTCTTTCTTCTGTAGACTGGGACTAGGGATTGTTCTACCTTATAAGATTGTTAAAAGGATAAAAGTGAACCAAAACATGTGGAGCAAGAACTCCAAATGTGTTCGCTATTATTATCATTATTATTATTCTCCTATAGGAATAGGCCTTCTGCAGAACACAACTTGATAGACTAATTGAACACACACCTATTTGCCTTATTTTAGTAAAGATGAGTAAATTGTAGACCAGAAGGATAAAGTGCTTCTCTTGAAATAATAAATGCTGAGTATTCTGCCTTCTCTAATAATTACTTCAGAACGCCTATAAAAATCACTCTTTCGTCAATTTCAAAGTAACATCAATATTGTTGAGCATTCTTTTGAAAACGGGTTTTAAGCTGTCTGATTTGGATACATGAAAATTTATCAGAGGATTTCAAAATGCCGTCCTCTATCACTTAAACTCTGCCACTTGGTAACTAAAAAGTTTGACATCTGTGTAGTAGCAATCTAGACTCCTGTACTGGGGATTTGTTCTGCTGGCCAAATTACACTGTTGTGATATAACTGCAACTTCTTTCTTATGTGTTCTGCTTTTTAGCTGTGTTTGTCATGCCATGGTAAAGGCCAACTCTTCTCCAACACCCAGGGAATTGATTGGCAGGATCAGAGGTAAAATACATGGCAATCTCACTTGTGGGAACTTCACGCAAGATGAACTGACATGCTTAATGAATTCGGAAGACGTTGCAGTGAAACAGCTAGGTAATATGTGGGAGGGAAGTATTTCACTTTGAATTTAGTTCCCTTATAAAACTCATAATACATACACAGTAAAGGATGATGAATTCCAAAAGAGAAAAGTCATTTTCTCATCCTTTTTTAAAAAAGATTTATTTATTTTTATTGCAAAGTCAGATATACAGAGAGAGGAAGAGAGAGAGAGAGAGGAAGATCTTCTGTCTGGTGATTCACTCCCCAAGTAAGCACAACAGCTGGTGATGTGGCAGTCCCAAGCCAGGAGCCAGGAAGTTCCTCCAGGTCTCCCATGGGGGTGCAGGGTCCCAAGGTGTTGGGCTGTCCTCAACTGCTTTCCCAGGCCACAAGCAGGGAGCTGGATGGAAAGTGGAGCCGCCGGGATTAGAACCGGCAACCATATGGGATCCCGGCATATTCAAGGCGAGGACTTTAGTCACTAGGCCACCGTGCCGGGCCCTTCTCATTCTTTTTTTATAGAGGTACCTCAAAAGATCCATGGGAAAAAATATTAATGGTATTTTGCATGCATAAATAGCGTTTTCCTAATACATTTTCCCCATGAACTTTCTGAAGAGCTCCACATGCGTGCTCTGTGCTCACTTGCTCAGGTGATCCTTTTCCTTTGAAGAGCTTCTGGGAGAATGGAATGCTGCCATGTTTTGTCAGAGACCACTGGTGAGCCCTGGGTATTGGCAGTGACCATGCTGTCCACCGAGTGGAGGAACTGACTTTCTTGCATAAATCCCCAGAAACCTGGAGAGCTTCTGTAGTGCACAAAAGAGATGTGCAAAAGATATGTGTTTGTTTATTGATTGATTCAGTCACCCTATTCATCTTGGCAAGTGATCTGGGAACTGGTCCAGATTTCTGTCACAGGCATTTCTTCTTATAAGTTGATCTGTAATGGTAAAAGAGAAAGGCTATTGGGCCACTACACCTCCTTTCTATTGCTATCAGCTTTCTATCTTTGCCCCAATAAAAACTTAGCACTAAGACAGATAACGCAGTTTCATTAGCACAATCCTCCGCACCAAACTGATAAAGTAGTTTGAGGGCTGGTTCTAAGTGCTTGAACGCATGTGAGGCGGAAGGTAAAGGGGGATAGCAGCTGCTGTCCACTGGATGCTGGTGAACTTGTTTTAAGCATGGACATTAAGGTGCTTTTGCTCTTCACTCAGGAGAGGCTGGGCTGTGACACTGTCTCAGCCAGAGTTATGGCCCAGGGCTCAGTTACCAGTTGGTCAGTAAAAAGTGGGAGCTTAGTTCATGGACTTAGTACAGGTCACATCTTCCTTAAGTTGACAATACCTGACAGTTCAGTCTTACCATAATAGTTCTCCATGGTGGAGATAGTCCTATCCCTCATGACCATCATCAGAAACAGAGCTCTCCATGCCTAGGCATGGCAGCTACATGAAGTATCTCCAATCCAAATCCACCCCGAACCGAGTTAGTAGGGTGAGACTATCCTGCAGAAATCAGTGTACAGTGTCTTGCCTGTACACATCAAATTGCTAACAGAGGGTACCTTGGAAAAGAGGGACAATTGACTGGGGGAGACTTTCTCTTTTGCACTCTAACACTTCTTCATGTGACTTAATTTTTTTTGCTAATGTAAATGGACCATTTAAAACAAAACAAAAATACATCTCCGGTCATTGATGGTTTTAATGGAAAGGATGAAACATGAAGTTTTAGAGGGCTGCTTATTTAAAACTAAGACTCCATTTAATGCTATTTTCAGTGAAGTCTGCTTTAAATGGTTTGGCAGGAAAAGTTTTCTCTTTTATTTGCTGAAGCTTATGTGAAGGCTAATAATGATGGGTCGTAATGGATGTTCATGCTACCTTTAAGTGCCTGTTGCCCTTTAAAATGTGCATACATTTTCTGTGTAGAGTTGGCAAAGTGCAAAGCTGAGGAAACAGCCTCGAGATACAAAGGGACATGTAAGTGGCTATTAACCAACCCTACTGAGACAGCCCACAGTAAATGCATCAAAAATGAGGATGAGCGTGCCACTAGAAGCTGGTATGTACAGCCATGTTCTAATTGCTCAAGCCCATACACAAAAACATGAGAAATAATCAAGGGTGATTATCTGTCATTTGCCTGAGCATGCTAACTCCCTTCAGCTACTCTCGGCCACTTTCCCTCCTCCCATCTTTTGGACTTGCACACAACATAATAATAATTTTGCAGAAGACAAAAGAGAAGACGAGGCCCTGAGCCCCATCACCTGAACACAGCTGTGTTTAGGTGGAATTTCTTTTGTATCTTTTTTTCTATGAATGGCTTTCAGCATTATTGTGGTTCTAATCACTGTCCTATCAGTAACATAATTTACCCTTTCACTCAATGGTTTATTAAACATTGGCCATGTTTTATATCCAACTACTTAATGATTATTTCACAAATCAGCCTCAGAAGCTATCTCATGGACGTGCCATGATCATTTACTAAATCACTCTTCTACTGTTGACTTTATCATTTCCCTTTTCAAAATCATCAGCCCTCTTTTCTTACTTTCTATCATTAATGTTGTATGCCATTTACTTAAGTGGACAAGACCAGAGGAGTAGCAGGTTTTGAACAGAGACTTAAAAGTACCCTTTCAGACAGCACCAGGTCCCACTACACACTACCTTATTCTCCCTGCTGCTCAGCAGTCAACAAGGCAGGCTCCTTTACAGCCCTAGAGTTCACAGTTAACCTCTCCTTTTCAACCCTACCCCACACACCCGTACCCTACCCAAACTACTTTCCTGCTCCAATCCCTTTACTGTCTCCTGCTTATTATGACAGCATTCTTCCTTGCTTTCTCTCTGCTACCTTCCACCAGCTCTGTTTAGCATGTTGTTGCCATTGTGATTTCCCAGCAATTTGACTGCTACCATCCCATAAATGAAGCCTCACCCCATAAATACAGTCTGCATGACTGCAGGCTCCCTCTCCTATTACCTCCTCCTTGCTACCCTTCTTCCTTTTGCTATGAACTCTAGCCAAAAGCCATTTGCGATGGTGGGCAATAAGGAGCACTTCCGGTGTTTTGTCTGCTTGTACTATTTACTGCTTGTGTGGGAGGTGTTTCTCTCCATCTATGTCCTTATAGTGCCCCCAAAGCTCCAGTGTGGACAATAAACCTTCCTTTCTTGGTGTTTTCATAGATTCAGCTTTGTTCATTGAGCTTTTCATCTCATATTTGGTCTATCAAACCATAAAATTTAGAGTTCCTCTGGGGAAGGACAATAGCCCATTCTGTTTTGTCTGTGTTACTAGTTTTCATCCTTAGAATGTACTGAGTGTTCAATGAATGCATTAGTTGAATTGAAATGAACTGGATTGAACAAGATAAGGCATGGGGTAGGAGCGGATGAGAAGGGCTAATGAGCTACAGAGGGCCCTACCCTAATTTTCTTGCGTAAATAAGTATGCTGAGATAGAGGCAGAATTGCAACAGGAATTTCCTTTTAGACTAGAGATAAGAAGTGACAATAAGGATAAAAAGTCATGTCTAAAGGGGCAGTGCCTTGGCTGACATTTCATCAGCTGGATATTGTCATGCCCCATCTCTGGTTCTCTTGCTTGTTTATTCTTCCAAGTGCTGACACTACATTCATTTGTTTCCTGAGAACAAAATTTTCTTCACTTTACAAAGAAACACAGAGCTCCCACCTTTGTTGTCTTGACTGAGAGATCAGGGATGAACAAGGGAAAGCATGCCAAAGACACACCTGCTCCTTCACCATTTGCATTAACAGTATCCCTGCCTCACCCTTCAAGGACAAAGTTGGATAATGCCTTTGCACTCCTCTTCCCCTGCACCCCCCCTCGTTTTTTTTTTTTTTTTCAGCTCATTTGGCATCAGCACAGGCAAATCTCAGTGGGATAAACTGAAGTTTAAACAATGCAAGTTGATTCAAGGACTTCCTGATAAAATTTTGGATCTTGCTAATATCACCGTAACAGATGGTAAGATTGTGTTGCGCTCGTTGAAGAAATAATAGAATCATAGGTAGTTCACCTCTTTTCCTTTAAACTAGAAAGAGCAAAGGCAAACCTCGGGTAAGAAAATCTACCTTACAATTATCCCATCTCAGAAACTAGATAGTTGGGGTGAGCATTTGATGGAGTAGTTGAGTTGTTTGCTTAGGACACCAGCATGCCATTTCAAAATGCCTCGTTTGATCCTGATTCTGCTCTACGTTCCAGTTTCCTGAAACTGCACATTTTGGGAGGCTGCAAGTGATAGACTAAATGCTTGGGTCCATATCATTCATGTGGGAGACTTGTAGGGAGTTCTGGCCTTCTAGCTTCAGCCTGATCCAATCTTGGCTGTTGCAAGCATTCAGGGGAGTGAACCAGTAGATAAAAGGTCTCTCTCCATCTGTTTCTGTCTCTCTACCTTTCAAATAAATAAAATTAAAATTTAAAAGTGAAACTAGGTAGTTAATGATGCTACGACTAGTGATGTGCCATGAGACATTAGGACTACCATTGCTGTAGTTTTATAATTTTTTGCTAATTATTATTTTGTTTTATTTTGATATTTAAATAGTTTTAATATACAATATGCCCTCAATGGTTTAATATTTAGAAAGCAAAAGATGAAAATACATGGAAACATCACCCTTGTAATGTTGGCCCTAGCCTTCCAGTGATTCTCTATAGAGACAATATATGCTTTCTAATGAAATACGTGAATAGACACATATCTCCTTCCAGTTTTGTATAGCGGCTAGAGCAGGCTATATGCACATTGTTCTATACCCTGAGCTTCTCTCTTAACATCTTTCAGAACTTATCATATATGTAGAGAAAGAGCTTCCTCACTCCCCTTCCCATTGCATTATAATATATGGGAGAGATGTATCACAATTTATTTTGTCTCTTATGTTGTTCATAACATTTTGCTTTAAGAACCCATCTGTAAAACTAATTTTACCTCTTGGTGCACTTTTATTATTAAGCGGGGGGATACTGTGACACACTTTTAAAAAAACCTACATTTCTGAAGGTATCTAAAATGTTTCAGAGCCGGTGTTCTCTAGGCAACTAACAAGAAGTTGCATTTCTTCCAAAAATTCATTCATAAATTACATTAGCTTTCATTGTTTTCTGACCCTTTGTTACCGCATTCAATACTAGTAGGTAAACCAAGTTTTCAACATGAGGCATACCTCTTTAAAACCATGCACTATTGGGCCCAGCACAGTGGCCTAGCGGCTAAAGTCCTTGCCCTGGACTTGCCAGAATTCCATATGGGTGCTGGTTCTAATTCCGGCAGCCCCGCTTACCATCCAGCTCCCTGTTTGTGGCCTGGGAAAGCAGTCAAGGATGGCCCAAGACCTTGGGACCCTACACCCACATGGAAGACTCAGAAGAGGTTCCTGGCTCCTGGCTTCAGATTGACACAGCTCCAGCCATTGCAGTCACTTGGGGAGTGAATCATCAGATGGAGGATCTTCCTCTGTCTCTCCTCCTCTCTCTATATATGTGACTTTGCAATAAAAGTAAATAAATCTTTTTAAAAAATCAAGCACTAATATAATGGATACCACACATAAGTCACAATTTTACACAAGTAGAGCACCTATAAAATATAAATTTCAGAAAGTCGAATTACTAGTTTCATCATGTTTTCATTGGTGACAAATTACTCTCTGTAATGGCTGCACCAGTTTGTTCTCTCACTTGCAAGGTATGAAAGTTTCTGCTTTGGGACACCTTCAGCCACAGACTTGGGAGTCCTTGGTGATTTTAATTAGAAAAACTGATATCACAATATGAAGCTTTTTTTGTAAAAAAAAAAATTCATTCATTTGTTTGAGAGGCAGAGAGAGGAAGACAGAAAGAGAACTTCCATTCATTGGTTCATCTACCAAATGCCTGCAGTGACTATCACTACATTGGGTTGGGCACCAGGACTCAATTCAAATTTCCCACATAGGTGGCAGGAACCCAATTACTTCGGCCTTAAGAGGAGTCAGGAGCTGGAGCTAAGTACTGCACTCAGGGTTAGGATATACATGCACATTCTCACTGACATTTTAACGCTAGGGTAAGCACCTGCCCCTACAAGCATTCTAATGGAGATATTCACATATCAAAACATTCGTCCCTATAATGTACACAATTCAGTGGATTTTTTTGTGCATTCATAAATCTGTGCAGCTGTCATCAATAATTCCCTTTGTCTTCTTCCATAGTTTGTCCATTTTGCCCTCTTCTCAGCTCTTGGAAACGACTGATCAATGTTTCATCTTTATGAATTTTACCTACCTTGGGTATTTGATAAGTTATTCATGTTGTAGTATATGTTACTACCTTACGTCTTTTTGTGACTAGATGACTGAATAGTATCCCATGTTGTAGATATTCACTCACTCATTCAAGTTAATAAGCATTTGTTCATTGCTATCTTTTGGCTGTTATTAATAATCTGATTGTTAATATTGTTAACAAGCATTTACAAAATTTTGTGTACACATGCTTTCTTTCCAATTCTCTTGGAAATATTATATAAATATATAGTGCATTGTTAATATTATATAGAGAGTGCATTACTAAATATATGTGTATATATATGTATGTATGTGTTTGTGTGTATAGAAAGTGCAATTGGCAGGTCACTTAGTAACATGTGATTAGCTTTCTGAAAACCTGCCAAACTTGTTTCCACAGCACTACACCGTGTTACATCTCTGCCAACACCATGAAGAGCTCAGGTTTTTTACATCTTCTTAAACACATCCTATTCTCCGTCTGTTAGATTATGTTGATAGTAACAGTCCCACTCCCACACATGTGTTCTTCCATTCCTGATTTTTAAAAATAATTTATAGATGGCTTCTTTTTAAATCTTGACCAGTCTAGTAAAAGTTTCCCAACTTTGTTGATTTTAAAATAGACTATCTTTGAAACAGGCTTGGGATCACAGCAAAATGGAGCAGAAAATAGAATTCTATACTTGTCTTCTGTTGCATGTGTAACCTCCTCCACTGTCAACATTCCATATTAAAATGTCATTTTGTTACAAGTAACACATTTTAAAATATTTGAAAAACAGAGAGAGAAAATTCTTCTAGCTGCTGCTCCATCCCCTAAATGCTTATAACAGCCTCGGCTACGCTGGGCTAAGCCAGGAACTTAGACCTCAATCCAGGTCTCTCACATGAGTGACAGAGACCCAGTCACTTAGACCATTGTCTCTTCCTACCAGAGTCTACATTAACAGGAAGCTGCAAGCAGGAGTTGGATCCAGGAATAAATAAGTCCAGGTTCTCCAATGTGGGACTTGGGTATCCTAATTGGCATCCTGCATACCAGGACAAATGTCTATCCTACATTTGTTATAACTGATACAACTACATTGACACATGATTATCTACCAAAGTCCATGGTCTAAATTAGGGTTGAATCTTGATCTTATGTATTCTATGGTTTTGGACAAATATATGAGATGTATTCACTGATTAAGTATCATACAGAATCATTTCCCTGCTATAAAAGTGCTCTGTGCTCTGCCTGTTCATACCTCTTTCCATCTTAATTCCTAGGAACCATTGATTAAAAAAAAATATTCCAGCTATTCCAGACATAGCTGGAAAGGAGGAGTCACAGAGATTTCCATCTACTGATTCACTCCAAAGATAGCTGCAATGGCCAAGATAGCGCCAGGTTGAAGCTAGGAGATTCTTGCACATGAATGGTGTGGGCCCAAGCATTTTAGCCATCTTCTATTCCTTTTCCAGCCCATTAGAAAGGAAACCACCAGAATATGAACTGGCAACCATATAGGATGCTGGCATGGCAGGCAACAGCCCCACCCATTGACATTTTTACTGTCTCTGGTTTTGCCTTCTCCTGATGTCATGTCATTGGAATCATATAGTATGTAGTCTTTTCAAGGTTGTCTTTTTCACTTACGAACAGACATTTAATATTTCTGTCACTTATCATGGCTCACTGCTTTATAGCACTGGATAAATATTCCATCATTTCGCTATAACAGATGTCTGTTCACTTCTGCAGAGCACATTGGTTGTTTCCAGATCTGAGCAATTACAAAGCTACTATAAATATATGTGTACAAGGGGTATTTTTGATATGGACATAGATTTTGAGCTCACATAGCTAGACACCCAGGAGCATGACTGTTATGTTGTAGAGCAGCACTGTGTTCAATTTTGTAGGAAATTATGAAAGTGTCTTCCAAAGTGGCTGTAATATTTTACACTCCTACAAGAAATCAATAATATTTTCTGTTCCACATCCATACCAGCATCTGTTGTTGTCTGTCTTTTGGGGTTTTGTTTAAATGTCTAATTGTATCTAATGGCTGTTTTAATTTGCAATTCCCCAGTGACATATGTTGTTGATTACCTTTTCATATACTTTTTAAAAAGATTTATTTACTTTTATTGGAAAGGCAGATATACAGAGGAGGAGAGACAGAGAGGAAGATCTATCGTCTGGTGATTCACTCCCCAAGTGAGCGCAACAGCTGCAGCTGAACCAATCCGAAGCCAGGAACTAGGAGCTCTTGCGGGTCTCCCATGCAGGTGCAGGGACCCAAAGCTTTGGGCCATCCTGGACTTCTTTCCCAGGCCACAAGGAGGGAGCTGGATGGGAAGAGGGGCCGCTGGGATTAGAACCAGTGACCGTATGGGATCCCGGCACGTGTAAGGCGAGGACTTTAATCACTATACTTTCGTGCCAGGCCCCATAAACTTTTAATATATCTTCTTTGGTGAGGTATCTGCTATAGGCTGAACATTTGTGGCTTCCCCCAGTCATAAGTCAAATGTTGAATCCTAACACTAGCTGGACTGTGAATCCTAACACTAGCTAACACTTGCTTTTAAGAGGTGATTAGGTCTTTGGGAGGTTATTAGGCAAAAAGTAGAACCTTCCTGAATGTAGATCAATGCCCTTCTAAAGAGGCCGCAGAGAGTTTTGTGATCGCTTCTGCTTTGTGAAGTTACAGCAACACACACACACACACACACACACACACACACACACACACACACAACCAAAAGCCTATATATAATGCAGGAAGTGTGTCCTCACTGGAAATCAAGTTTGTTTTCATAAAGAAAAATTAGTTTCTACATAACTTGATAGGTGTGGTTCTAGTGCACCAAGTGGGTTCCTTCCATAATGAATTGTTAGAAATTGAGTCACAAGCATTCCAATGCCTTGCACAGGGCCAGGGAATTGGACTTGTCATCTCTGTGGAATATGCAAATATAATATCAGGAAATAGTTATAATGAGAAAAGCAAGCATAGCTTTGATGGTTCCTTGATCTGCAATCACGAGTCAGGGCAATAGGGAAAGTTTGCACGTTGAAGTGAGTGGGTGGAAATACAGAGAGGTCTGTGTTTCATGCTGACCTCCCTCCCTCTGAGTGACACTTTTTGTTTAGACACGCTAATAGAATTTTCTCTTGTGGAAGAAAAAGCTAACAAACCTCCATAACAACAACAAAACCACTGCAGTTGGTTGTGATTTTTAGAAAACTGACTGTCAGAAGTCACTTTACAAAAAATACTGTGGAGAAAGAGGACAGTTAAGTGTTGATTTAGATATATAAAAAGCTGAAAAGTAAACTATCAAGTTTATTGGCTCTGGAGAAATCTCTCTCCTGTCCTTATAAATTAGGAGCTTAGGGAACAATGAGTACTATATGATCTAAAGGAAAGAAAAATGCCTGCATTTAAAATGATCCATTTTATTTTAGCTTTCAAGCTTACTGACAAGCATTAGATAGCTTGGTTGGAGACTCTTCAATTCTTTCATATAAATGCTTATTTATCTGAGCTTCTGAATACCACTTAGAAAATATTCCCTTATTTCAAAGTTCATTGAGTTCTTTCCTGTGCTCGATTTTGTTTACTTCCAAGATATGGAAGATGCATCAGGGTTTCGTGAAGTTAGGTGTAATTTTCTCTGAAACTATCTCCCATTTCTGTCCATCGCATCATCAGGACAGGGCAATGAGTGAATAAGAGAGAACAATGTGATACCTAGGAGGTCAGGTAGAAAGTGCCAGACACAGTGGTCCCCATGTCTAGAACTACTGAAGAGAGGGATAAAGGCACAGATGCTGGATGGAAAAAGTGGTAACAAAGAGCTCAGCCTCTGGAGTCGGAACTGGGCTAGAATCACCCAGCTTCTTGACTTCTGAATCTGTATGTAGGAGATAATAAAAAGTGCTTATCACATAGAGTTTTGTGACGATGATAAAAATGCAGGTGTAACGCCTTGATTTTACATGTTGATTCCAAAACGCCATTCACTCCTTGTCAACTGGCAATTGAATTAGGACTGGCTGGTGACTGACTCAGCTTAGCCAAATGTAGCACTAAAGACACTGCCAACTGGGGAACTTGTCAACAGGACTGGAACTTTCTTCATCCTTTCTCTTGGTATACTCTTACGTCATGTGCTTCCTCATAGAATCCAGACATCAGACTTTAAGAAGCCTGAACATTGATGTGTGGGAAATATTTAACAGCCAACTCTGTCCTAAAATGGTATGGATATAGCACTTAGCAGTTTTCCTGATGGACTCCAAACCACAATAGGTAGTCACTGAACTATGGATTTGGTAAGAGATGAGCACACAGCTTTGATAGAGGTAAATGTCACAGGAATACAGAGTAGTAAAATGTAGCAAGAAAATGAAAGAGAGTTGAGTGCAGCATCACGACTGTTTTAGTATAATTGATTATTAGTGTAGCTAATTTAATTTCTGATATTGGCTGTATTTTAAACAGCAAACTCACAAACTATTTCACAACTGAATAATTGATTCTCATAATCTGGAATAAGTTGCTTCCAGTGCCTTATAAGCTGGAGCCAGCACAACACTGAGTCCTTCTATAGGGAGTGTAGTCAGTCAACAGTCCTCTTAGTCCATGGTCATAATCAACTATCTGTCATGTGAATGAGTAATTTTTAACTTGTAGCCCAGTACAGCCTTTAGATATGTCACCGTTGAGTGTTTTCTAACTGCAACTCCCTAAATGATATGTGGCTAGCCGCATCTAGTTAACATCCAGAATGTTGAATTTTGAGGTGGTTTGTTATGCAGCAGGAGATAAGTAGAACACTAGCTCATAAAAATTGTTAATAACTGCTATTGTTGTAGTTTTGGTTGTTGTAATTCCTGGTGGATTTACTCTAACATTATTTCAAGCAATATATATTTATTTACTCAATTTTGATTCTTTAGATCTATTTATTCTACAGTAATAAAGAAGCACTCCTGTTTTTGCTTGGGCTTAGGGACTCAGAATTTTTTCACAATGAGTCCAACTTGTCCTGATCTTCTTTAAAAAACATATAACTCCAGATAAAGATCCTGTAATTACTTTCCACAGTGTAGTTAGTCTCCCATTGCATTGTTGTTTACTTAATTCTTCCACAGCAGGGACAGAACAAAGTGAAGTCTCACCACTGAAACCCAAGGAGTCATGACAAGACAGTTCTGGCTGTTCCATTTTCAGCAAACAAAACAGGAACAATTTAATAAAGGCAGAAGAAAAATCCACGAGTGAGCTCACGGTCTTTTTTTCCCCCTCAGTTTCTCTAACTGCGCAGAAGATATGGACATAGACAAAATATTAATCTGGAAGCAATGACAAGATTAGCAAATTGCAAACTGTTTCCTTTTCTTCCATCTCCTAGGGGGAGAACCCTTTCCTTGCCAAATCAGTTCCCATGTCAGCCAATTTTTAAAGCAGATTGGGGAAATGGGTAGTCAGGGAGGGGGATGAGACTGAGAGGAGCTGTGTTAAGATTGCTTAATTTATATTGATGAGAACAAAAAGTTGTTACCAGGAAAAGAAACAAAAAAGGAACCAAGCAAGAAAATGAGAGGGAAAGAAGAAAATAGACTCTAGGTTTTATTAGAAGTGAGGAATTTGGAGGCAGGCAACAGATTTGGGGGTACAGTGACAGAGAGAGAGAGAGATTTTATGCTGCACTATTTTGCTTTCACAAAGTTGGTTATTTGCCATATAACCTGAGTTAAGTATGTTATGAACACAATCCCCTCTCTGAATTTTTTTAGCAGATTGTATTTTTAAATTATTTTTCTTTATGTTTTATTTATGAGACTTGAATGTGAGTCTTAAATTAGTGAGAAACCACAAGGAATCTCAGCTTTATATGGGTTAATTACATTGATCTAAAGTCTAATTTGTGTTGTATTTGTTTAACAAAGCTCCAAACTTGATGATTCAGACAAAAGGATATTAACACTTACTGGATATTTGTTGATCTTGAATATTATGTCTAGCTTTAAAATTCAATTTTAATTTACTTGCTATTGTGGTTATGATAATTTTAGAAATGCATACTGAAGTGGGTATGGATGAGATGGCATGATGTTTGAGATTTGCTCTAAAGATAATCTGGAGTTGGGACAAAGATGGATGGGAATGTAGATGAAATAAAATTAGCCCTTCATTGATACTTGTTGAAGTTGGATGACTCATGATGTACATAGAGATTCATTAATACCATTCTTTTGCTTTTGTGCATGCCTACAAATTTCCATACTAAGAAGTGAAGAAAATAGGTGGATGAGTTAATATCCATTGTTCTTACTCTCTAGAAAATCTAAATTAATTGCTTTTTTGGTCACATGGTTTTTATTTGCTTTTTTCTCCGGATTTATGAATCTTGACTCGAAAATGTAATTACCACTCTTGATTATGAAAACATAGACTGAATATTTGCTGATATTTGAACATAGTTGGGATCTACTTAACTGAATCCTGTACTCAAAAAGTCTCAATTTAATTAGAATCAAATTTCAAGATAATTTTTCAGTGGCAAAATGAATTCCCTGGTGCACTTACAAAAGGATTGCATGAATAAAAGCTTGACTTACATGCTACTTCCTGGAGCTATATCTATTGCAGAACTTGAAGTCTAACCTTCTCCCTCTGTAATCTTTGCTATCTTGGTAAGCATTTCTAGCTCACTGCCTTTAGCTTTTTAAAGTGAAGGAAACATAGCCCTAAACTACTGAATGTAGGTTGTACATTTCAACTTTCTTTCCCCAGAGAATGCAAATGATGTTGCAGAGCACATTTTAAATTTGATAAATGAATCTCCACCTCTGGATGAAGAAGAGACAAAGGTTCTTATTTCTAAAGTATCTGATATTTCACTACGTGATGAAATCAGTATCAGCCTAACCCAGATTATGTTACAAATCATCAATGCTGTTATGGAGAAGCAAAATGATTCGGCCTTTGATCTGCATGAAGTAAGCAATGAGTAAGTATGAAAACTTAGGAAAAAGATTAAATTAAATGGTACTAATTTCTTAGCATGCAGACACACACCATTTAAAGGTCAAGTGGGTAGGCATTGAAAGTACACTTAGTTCAATGCGATGAGAACATTTTATTCAAATACCAGTGAAAGAACGCATTCAAATTTGAGTTGTATCTTAGTGATATCAACTTTCCAAATACACAGTTACTCTAAACCAAAGTATTTCCTCAGTTTTGGTATAACTCTGATGCTCTTCATTTTTAAGAAATGCATTCAAACACTGAAACATTTATTTTAAAACTATTTTTTAGTATTAGGTACTAAAATAATCCTAGGCACCTCCCTGTAGCTCACAATCAATTGTTAACTAACTCATGTGTGAAGCACTAAATACATTTTCTAGTCTCCTGTGTGTTCTATTGGGATCCATCTGCTTCTGTCCATCTCCACCACACCCCTACCCTAACGTCCATTTCCTCTTGCCTGACCACCTACAGTATACTAACTGGTCTCCTTGCCTTGACTCTTGACCCTGTAAGGCCCATCTTCTACACTGAAGCCAGAGTGATTTTTGGAAGTATGCAAGAGGTCAATTCAAAATGTTCATAGATGCATAGTCTCCATTATTCAGATAATCTATGAGAATACATGTATATACACATTAACCCATATATCTGTAAATCTTGTATTTTGCATGGAGGTTGCTTTATATCAGAGAGAACGTATAATATTTGTCCTTCTGGGATTAGATTTGTTCACTGATTATAATAGTCTGTAGTTGGGACCGTTTTGTTGCAAGTGGTAGAATTTCATTCTTTTTAATGACAGCAGTATTCTATGGAGTAGATGTGCTACAGTTTCTTTATCCATTCCTCTTTTGTCTGGCATCTGAGTTATTTTCATGATTGCTACTGAAGGAATATATTATTGGAAAAATATGGGGAAAAAGTTGAGGGAAAAGCATTGGGAGTACAAGGGGAAATCCCTATCCACATGGAACTGTACCATGGGAAAAGTAGTTATAATAAAATGTTCATAGAGAATGCATCTTTAAGAATATTGGGTAGTGAAAATCAGAGAGAAGGTCTCTCTCTCTCTCTCTCATAAATACAGAAATCTTAAAAGCATAAAAGAATAATAAAAGGGAGGAATGCTCTTCTCCACCCGTGGTTTCTTACAGGATTCTGAGACTAATCGAGCGTGTTGGTCACAAGATGGAGTTTCAGGGGAGGTCTGAGAATCTGACCATGGCCAGTCTGGCTTTGGCTGTGGTGAAGGTGGACCACAAGTTTGAAGGTCTGACCTTCAGCATTCGTTCCCACACAAATGGCACAGACCTGGAGGTAAGTGTTGCTTGGGGAACAAAGCTACTCAGCCGAGCATTGGTCCCTGTCTTCATTCATTAACATTTAGGTCTCATTTTAAGGAAAATTCTGAAAATACAATTACTCCTGGGAAAATTCATGTTATCATTCTTAGTAAGCTGACAATGATACCACCTTTGGCCCTGTGACCCCGACCTCACCTACATTGTCAACATAGCTTTGACTGTCATTTGTGGAGAAGTAATGATATGTTATATGTGTGCTATTGTTGGTGAACACAAGAAAACAGAAATTTCTGACTCAGAGAGAGTCTATGTAAGTTTATGAGAGACTGTCATACTATTACTTTAAGTCACTAATAATATGGAGTCAACTTTCATTTTTAGTTCGATGTCCTCAAGTTTTTAATATTTCTGAGGGCTAATTTATAGGCTTTTTGTTTTTCATACCATATATGACTTGACTAAGACATTGAATGTGTTCCCTCATCTTTGGATTGGTGAGATAGACAACATTTCAGAACTATTGAAACTACCTGGGCAAAACCCTCAACAGCCTATGCTACATCAGGACCCTGGGTTAATATTGGGTGGCTGTTCCCCATCCCTGGGTACTGGGGAGGTTGGGAGGCTGGTTGTGGCTTCTCCGCTTGTCTCCTCCCCCTCCTAGATACTGGAAATAGAAAAGGAAAACTTGGAAACAATAATCACAGCCACTTTTCCCTGGCCCTTGATCCTTCCCAACTTGAACAACTTTGTAAGCACCATCTAAAATAAAAATTCAAAATTAAAAAAAATTACAAATAATAAAACCAACATCTTTCATGAACACAAGTTCAATAAGGCAAAATCTAAGCATATTTAAAATATCAATGTTCAAAAGAATAGTACATTGTGCCTTTGTTGGAAGTTGGTTTTGACAGCCAGTTCCAGCAGCATGAATTTTGGGAATATGGCGCTATTCAAATGTCCTCATCCATCTTGTACACATTTGGGTTCATTTTTTTTGTTTTTCTGTAAGAAGCTGTTTATTATACAGAAACAGAACAAAATATGTGACCATTTACCTTTCCACTACACAAAACTAAAAGCAACCAAAATGACAAAAAGTTAGACATAGCTATTAACAATTATTTGTTTTATTTTACTGTTAATTCAAATTTTCATTTGAATTTAGTGCACATTTTCTGCGTGTATTTGGGTTGTACTTGATAATTATTATGAACCAGATATCACAAAATCTCTGAAAAATACAGACATTAATATTTAACCCATTGAACGATTTATTTAGGTTTTATTAATGTTAAACACTATGGTTGATACTGGAGCTAAAATGTGGATAAAGAAAAATTCTGCTCTCAAGGCAATGTATAAGAGACTGATGGGAGCAAGCACGAGATTCTATGGGAGCACTGAGGAAAGATACAAAGGAACACAGGCTCTCACTTGGTTATGATGGTGTAGTTGTAGGGATCTTGCAAGACCTAGAGGTTGAGAAGAGATTAGGCCAAGAGAATTAATATTGGGTGGGAAAATGCATTAAAGCTTTAACAGTTTCTCTAGGTATATACCACTTCCTCTTTTAGACCTGAGTTAATAAATGTTTTGCACCAACACTGAGTCCTCAGTCTGAATACGGTTCATGATATTTTTATAAGAATTCATTTCTTCTAACTTGTCGAGCTTGTTGGTGATTATTCAAATTACTTTCTTACTATTATTTTAATGTGTAGAATTTACAGTGGGAGTCAAAAATGTATTTGTTAAAGGACAGATAGTAATATTTCAGATTTTTAAGCTACAGGTAGCCTCTATCTGCTGCATGTTCTTATTTTTGTTTTGGTTCTCTCTTCGGCTCCCCTCCCCTCCCCTCTCCTGTACCCTCTTCCCTTTCACTCATCTTCTTCCCCCCTTCCTATCCCTCTTCTCTTTTCCTCCTCTTCTTTTTATCCTGTCCTCCCCTCCTTCATCTTCCACCTTCCTGTGTCTTCTGGATGGTAAATCAAATCTCAGTGAAGCTCCATTATCACTACTAGACATGTATGATGATCAAGACAGGCAGAGGTTTGCACTGAGTTTATGCTCACAATGTCGTCCCTCCTTTTCTCTCTCCATCCCAGATGTTTCCCTCACCACTAACTCCCAGTGGTTGTTGTTCCCCTAAGGTATTTTTTCGTGTTCTGCTAACTGGGAAGTCTGTGCAAATTTTCCATGAGTTACAGATGTCCTTCACAGTATTAGTTTCAGCCAGCTAGCAGGCCAAGTACTGTAAAAGCAGGAAAAAATGTTATCCAAGTATCAAATCTTCTGAATCTGTCTGCTTTTGTTCCTTTGCCAGTATCTTCAGTTCACTATTACTTTGTATAGTTGTTACATACAAGAGAGTCAAATGAATTAGCAGCCACTTACCCAAAATGAAAGCAGATATTGTCTTTCTATTACATTTTGTTTATATTTAGTTTTTTTAAAATTATAAGTCTTAGTGGAGTAACCATCAAGCTCAAGCACATTGATGTATCTGCTTACATGTTCAAGTGAAATCATGACTGTTCTGTGGTACTTGGTTGATGTTGCAGAGTCAATTTGTGCCAGAACAGCCACATAGCTTTGAGTTCATTTTTTTAAAATAAAAACTTTCATTACGTGTTTTACATCCAAGTGGATAGTTCTCTAAAGGGATGGATAATCAAAAAAGTGGTCAAAATCACATCCGTGTTTTTTTCAGTCACATGCAAGGTATGTGACCCTAGATAAATCACTGACCCTCTCTGAACCTCCATTTTCTGAAAATGTAACAGCATATCTGTGTCCTGGGTTCACTGAGGGCTGGATGTAGGTAAGGATGCTCATATTCCTTGATTTGCTTGAGAGAGTTTCTGCTTAGGACTATTCATTGTCAAAGCCATTCCAATAACTATAAAACACAATCATCCCTCTTAGTGAATCTGCAGCAGAATTTCTAGCTAATGCCTCAGTTCCCTGCACTATTTTTTAACCAAATATTGCTCCATAAATTATGGGTCCTGTGCCCCGATGTCCTAGTTCTGTGTTGTGCTGCTGTTTCAGTTTTCACTTTCAGAAATATATAGGGGACAAGTGGATTCATTTCCAAGACTGGCTTTCGTTACTGGGAATCAGGGGGAAATACTTAATATGTACTACTCTATCCACTTCTAATGTTACTCAAGTGGAAGCAGGTTAAGACAAAGAATCACAGAGCTAGCCTTAGAATGGAAACGGGCGTGTTTGGAAGGGGGTGAGACAATTCACGCACATGCACCAGGATCATGTCTTGGCCTGTGATTCTGAGTGTGTGCCTGCATGTGTCTTACAGGTATTTCATATCTTCAGGAGCTAGTGCCCACTCCCTCAGCCCTCTGTGTGATATTCTAGGGTTGAGCCACGGTGATGGGTAAAGATTGCAGTTTTCATTGTCTGACATTTCTTGGCAGATTTCCATAGCTGATATCCATCTGGGGAGAATTTTGGCTTCTATATATTTGCCTAAGTCACTGAAGAAAAGATTTCCTCCCAATAACTTACAGACCATCTTGTTCAATTTCTTCGGACAAACTTCCCTCTTCAAGGTAAGGTTTTGCCTCTGGTAACTGTCATGAACTGACATACGGTGGTTGACTCATTGTAATTATGAATCCCTGCTATTTTCATTATGTTCTGTTTATTTTAGAATATGCTGTTTGATTGATTCTACAAGTTTTCCAGCACAACCCTTGGCCCTCCACATGATTCAACATCTACTTTAATGATGTTCCGCAGTTTTTAATTTCACAGCTTCTCAGCTTGGGAAGGGACCTTAAGGCTTCTTTGGTCACCAAGCAGAGGCCCCTGAATTTTTCCAAGTCAGAAAAGAACATCGTGTTCCTCTGATGAAATGCCCTTACAGCTCACTAGTGTTTTCTTCTGCTGTCTCCGCTGGCTCCTCACAGCCAACGTGCCCACTCCTTAGCGCGGTTTCAGGTGGTTTCTGGCAGGACACCTGCCTGTGAGCATTTGCCTCTCTTTCGTACCACCCACACAGAACCTTCTTATAAAATGCTTTATTTCTTAGGATATTAGTTTTAGTTTTCCCTTTTTAAATTTTAAAAATTCACTTCTCAAATGGCTGCAAGGGCCGAGGCTGAGTTAATCTGAAGCCAAGATCCAGCAACTTCATCCAGGTCTTCCACGTGGGTGCAGGGGCCTAGGGCCTTGGGTCATCCTCTGCTGCTTTCTCAGACACATTAACAGGGAACTGGAACAGACGTGGAGAGGCTGGGACTCAAACCGGTGCCCACCTGGGAGGCTGGCATTGCAGGTGGCAGTTTAATTCACTGCACCACAGCTCCAACTTCTCAGACTTTTTTTTTTTTTTTTGAGGTCTCTGGTCCTCACTCATTACAAAGTTGAGGCAATATGATGGGATGAGGAAGAGCACGGTCCTAATGGAATTTCAAGTCAATTTTGCCATATTCTACCTGTGTGACTACCGGCCTATGCCTTAGTTTTCTCCCCTGTGAAAGGGGTCACAACATGATTTCACAGAGCCTTTGAAAGAAGGAAGAAGCGAATGCATGCCCAGTACAGGAGATTGCCCTGTGCATAATAAGTACCATGCCAGTCAGTCTGTGCATCGCTGCTTTAATCACTACCTTCTCTTGGATATCTACCTAACAAAAGGCCCATTACTTCAGGACACTTATTTTCATATGGTTGTATGGAAGACAGCGATCAGAAACTGAACAAGGTTGATAATGATGAACACTACTAACTGTCAATATTTACAATTATTATTTCATCCATTGTAATCAAGAGTTAAAGAAAAAAACAAAAGACCCAAAGAAATTGTGCAGTTTTGTTCAAGGTCTTACTGCCAGGAAGTGGTATACCTGGAGCTCAGATGAGGTTCTTGTATTGAAGAGGTCAAAGTATTAAGTTGCCTGGTGTGCTTGTGTTTCTGAAGAGGTTATCCAAAGGAATGAATGTCTGATGGTCAATGATTCACAAAACTGTTTTGGTGAAGATTAAACTGGGCCAATTCAAAATAGACTGTATATCCATGCCGTGTGACTACATATTCATGAAATCATTCCATCTGTAACACCTTTATTTAAAAATATTTATTGATAACAATACAGACATAAAATTCTGCTTAATATTTAAAAATGTACAATCTTGCCATCAGGATAAGCTTCTTTCAAATTTATTTTAATTGTTCTTTTGTATACTTTTACTTGAGGTGATGAAACCAGTAAGTACAGATTTCTCCTGCAATATAGAAGCCATCATTATAAATTCCTAATAAGTGAAAAAAATGAAACAAAAATGTTTCTTAATGTGAAAAAAGAGTTACAGGGAAAGAGAAATAGAGACACGGAGAGAGCTTGGGAGAGATCTTACATCTTCTGGTTCCCTACCCAGATGGCCACCAATAGTCAAGGCTGAGGCAAGTGGAAGTCAGGAGCCAAGAGCTTCACCAGGGTCTCCCAGGTGGCTATAGTTTCTAAAACACTTGGGTCATCTTTCACTGCTTTCCCAGGCACATTAACAGGGAGCAGCATCAGAAGTGGACCAGATAGGACTTGAATGTGCATTCATATTGGATGATGGTGTTGCAGGCAGTGGTTTAACTGGCTATGCCACCACTTGACTCTGCACCTGAAAGACTATTTAATAACCCTGAAGCTTTCCATCCACTTTCTCTCTACCTAAATTCAATTTGTTCCTGTGATCTTACTCTAAATCTTATGCAGGATGCCTGCCTGCAGCCAATTCCAGCTTTCCTGCTTATCTTTTGGCTAAAAAAATAGTAAAAAAATAAAAATAAAATTTAAAATGTAGCTGATAGCATTGTGCCCCTTTTTGTAGACTTTGTCACATCGCTGTGTCCTTTAAGATGTCATTCTTTTGAGTTTCAGTTCTCACCTTTCTTCAGAGGCTTGTGATTTTCTTTTTCTCTTACAAGAAGAGAAAATTTTGTTTTGCCTAGATCTCATGCTTAATAAGTCTTTTTTCATTCACTAACACCTTCCACTGGGAGGGACTAAAGATCTTTGTGACAATTCGCTTCCTAACGACACTGTGCCACTGGAAGGCAGATTGGAAAACTCAGAGCAGTCAAGTTCAGAGCCAAATGGGCATTCCACCCTCGCAGGGTCCCACTGCCTCATTTTATAATGAGGACGTTAAGATCCTGAGAAAGGGCAGGATCTGCTGCTGGTGCAAACGGGTTTTTTGTTGTTGTTGTTGTTTTTGTTTGTTTGTTTGTTCCCTTAACCATGTCTTCATTGAGCAAGTACTTCTGCTGTCCCTTGTCTGAATCAACTGATGCTGAGCATTGGGGGCACAATGCTGAGCAAGAAGGACATTGCGCATGCTCCCACTGGATGAGAAGGAAGACCTACAGCTCTTCTTTTTTTTTTTTTATTACATTGCGTTATGTGACACAGTTGTAGGCACTGGGATTCTCCCCACTTCTCCCCCAACCTCCCCCCATGGTGGATTCCTCCACCTTGCTGCATTGCCACATTTCAGGTTCAGTTGGGGTTCTTTCATTGCAAGCATATACCAAGCATTGAGTCTAGCATCTTATTGTCCAGATAATTTCAACGGCTTCTTGTGGAGACCATCTCTGGTCAGAAGGTAGAGCCGGCAGAGTGTCATCCCGACCAATCAAAAGGCCCAACGTAACATCAGCAACAATCCACAGCATTTTGGAATTAGTGGGCATAGTATTGAGTAACCTATATGTTAAAAAAAAATACATTTTACAGGTACTATTTTTCATATTGACATCATTTCATCTTAAATTCTTAAATTAAGGCAAACATGTGGTATCTAATCTTTTGGGATTCGCTCATTTCCTTTAGCATTATGGTTTCCAGTTGGGCCCATTTAGCCACAAAGAGCTGCATTTTTTTTTAATAGCTGAGTAGTATTCCATGGAGTAGATGAACCATAGCTTTTTTACCCAGTCTTCTGCTGATGGGCATTTCGGTTGCTTCCAAGTTTTTGCAATTATTGTGTTGCTATGAACATAGGGGTGCATGTTGGTTTCTTGTGTAGCAGGTGTTTTGGATATATTCCTAGGAGTGCTATTGCTGGATCATATGGTATGCAAATTTTGAGTTGTTAAAGTGTTCTCCATACTGATTTCCATAGAGGCTGTACCAGCCTGCAGCCCCACCAGCAGGGGAGTAGGGTTCCCTCTTCCCCACAACCTACAGTTCTTAACGCTACCAGCAAAATGCGAGGCTATGGTCTAGGAGACGGCTTGCTGTGGACTGCGTGCTCAGGAGGGCTGTGGGCCTTCTGTTCCCTCATGCCCAAGGCTCTGAGTCTCATGGCCGTGCTTTCACGCTGCTTTCCCTAAAATCTTTTTATTCCAATCTGGACACTCAAGGCAACAGTTTCCTGCTAGGAACTATTAATAAGACATTTCATTTTTCCCTCCTTAAAAAAAACAAACAAAAAAAACCCCTGTTTTATTTGTATAAGATGAACAAATTTCATGTGTTTCATATACAGATTTAAGAGCATAAAGTGATATTTCCTCCCTCCCTCCCACCCATGCTCCTACCTTCCCTTCTCCTTCCTTTTTTCTCTCTCAATTTTTATAATGACATGCTTTCAGTTTATTTGATAATCACAAGCGTAACCCTCCACTGAATAAAGAAATCAGCAAGCAGCAAGTAGAAAACCCACTGTTTTTCCAGAGTATAGAAAGGGGCTGTAAACAAGAGTCAAATCTCAAAATGTCAATTTCACTGATATATGTTACAGGTTTTTTTTTTTTTTTTTGGTACTCTGTCTGTATATTGCCACACATCAGGAAAAGCATAGGATATTTGTTTTTTTTTTTTTTTTTCAGGACTGGCTTGTTTGAACAGTGTATGCCTTGCTCTCCAGTCCTCCATCAGCTGCTGCCTCTCAGCCAGGGACAACGACAGCAGGCTAGGGCAAGCAGCACAGGCACCATGGGAACATGGAACAGCATTTCCTGCTTCCCATGGGAGGTCAGCAAAGGCCTAGTGTAAGAGGAGTTTCAGGGGCTGGTGCCATGGCGTAGCAGGCTAACCCTCTCCTTTGCCTGCATTGCCGGCATCCCGTTTGCACATGGGTTCGAGTTCCTGCTGCTCTACTTCCCATCCAGCTCCCTGCTTGTGGTCTGGAAAAGTAGTGGAGGATGACCCAAGTCCTTGGTCCCCTGTACCCATGTGGGAGACCTGGAAGAGGCTCCTGTCTCCTGGAATCTGCTGCCTGGCCCAGCTCTGGCTGTTGCCATTTGCAGAGTAAACCAGCAGATGGAAGATCTCTGTCTCTCATCTCTTGTTTCAATTGAAATCTGTGTTTCAATAAGAATAAAGACGATGCACACACAGAGATGTCTCAGCTGAGACCTGATGGTGAGCTAGCAGATGGAGCATGACGAGGATGATGGGGGAGGATTTCAGGTAGAGGGAGCAGATTTAGAGGTGAGGCAGGGAAAGTTGGGCCTAGAGCACACAATGGAGGGTGAGGGAGAACCTGCTTCCTTTGCAGGCATGGCCACTGTTTTGTGGGAAAGGGAAATGGAGCCTGAGAAGTGAAGTCCCAGATCATTGTGCACATCCTCCTTTGGAATCGGAGCCTAAGCAAAGGGTCTCTGATGCTAAGTTGAGAGAGCCTTTAGATATTATCTCTCTTCCCCCTTTTCCTTGCATTCCACACAGTGGAGAGGCTTTCAAGCAGCGAGAAGGGCAGGCTAGTGCTTGGTGTTTTAAGTGTCAGCCAGGGACCTGTGCACTGCATCTGGCTGTGGACCCACCTCCAGATCAGGTACCCTGGGGATTCTGCTGGTGAGGGCACCCGGAGTCCCAAAGTTGGCTTCGCAGGACTGAAGTGAGTCACCACAAGGAAGTGAATCGCTTCCAGATAGACTCCAGGCTGCCTTTCATGCTAACTTCCATGTCAGAGTCAGCAGAGTTCAGAAGGGGTAGGAAAAGTGGGCTCTGCATCATTTCTTCAGAAATGTGAAGGCCTGGCATCTTCTCAATGAGGCTCCGCAGCCTCTGCAAGGGCTACCATTTGGGCTCACATCTTCTGTTCTTTCTTAGCAAGTTCTCAGGTGGCTTGTTCATCCACCTTGCTGCTTGTGATTAGCCCCATGGCTTATCTCACTGGTGCCTGAGAGGAGCAGCCGCTTAGATGACTGAACTCTTGCTCTCTTGCAGGTATTTTGCCTCTGCTAATCAGTAATTCCCACACCTCAGTTCCAAGTAGGTCTTTGTTCCTGTTGGCATTGAGCCTCCCCAAGCCTCAGTTTATCTGAAAATGTTCGTAAAATTTCACGAAGGACCGAAGACAGTATGCATGTAATTGGTTCACAGTATGCATGATATCAAATACCTCTCGCTGTACTGCTCATGCCCAGAGAAGGAACTCAGGATCCATAATACCTGCCCTGTGGCTGCAGAGCTCATACGCCCCTCAGGGAGGAGAGACATCGTCAGAGTTTTGTTCCATTAGGCTACTGCACCAGGTCCTGCTACCATTTTTTTTAATGATGGAATACAAAATGACTTACCACTAGATACTTATTAACATGATGGGTTTAGTTTCTTAGTTTTCTTCCTTAAGAACTCCCTAGACCAAAGTATGGTTGGCTGAAGATTACAACTAAGATAAGGTTTTTAAATGCCAAGGGCAAGAGGGTTCTCAAAGTAGGCAATAGTCTCATTTGTTTCTACGGCAGCGATGAGTGTTTGCTGCTTGGAGTTGGATGGGATGGATGGATTGATGAAGTGTTCTCGCTTGCTGTAGTTGAGACCTTATGTAAATGCAGGAGATGAACTCAATGACCTTTGGAAGGCATTCTCAGCTTGTGATTCCACGTTCTACCTTTCTATGCCTGTGTGTTCCACCTCAAAAAGTATACACTGAGTTTTAAATTTTATTTATTTTTATTTTATTTGAAAGATTAGGAAAAGGGGGAGGGAGGGATGAGGAAGAGAGGGGGAGAGAGAGAGAGAGAGAGAGAGAGAGAGAGAGAGAGAGAATCTTCCATCTACTTGTTCACTTTAAAATCTTCACAGAAACCAAGGCAGGGCAAACCAAAACAAGGATCTGGGAACTGGATTGAGATCTTCCAGGTGGCTGAATCACAACCTTCTCACTCTGAGTGTGCAGTAGCAGGAAGCTGGAACTAGAAGCAGAGATAGGACTCAAGCCTGGGTATTCTGGTCCTCATTACTGCTGTGCCAAACACCTGCTTTATTAACATGTGAAAAAAAAAATTAAAACCTTGACTTCTTTTCTTGTTTCATTTACAGACCCAGAATGTCTCAAAAGCATTAACCACATATGTTGTGAGTGCCAGCATTTCAGATCTGTCCATTCAAAACTTGGCTGACCCTGTGGTTGTCACTCTGCAGCATATTGAAGGAAATCAGGTAGCAAATCCATTTTGTCTCAGAATCAGAAGACCTCAAAGCCCTTCCATTATTTTCATATTAAAAATAATTGGCTAATAAACAGATGTGATTCTTTCTGTCACGAAGAAGCTTGTTTATCTTCCTGGATTTTCAAGAATATTTTTATTCATATAAAGAGAACAGATTTCACATAGTTCATAGATACAATTAATTGTTACAATGATGCTCCTCTCCTTCTCTCCCTTCATCTTTCCATCCTCCTCACTTTCTTCGCTTTTAATTTATGTAATAACATATTTTAACTTGCCTTATAGTCAAAGGCTTTAAATTCCACTAAAGAGTTTGACAAGTAAGGGTAGAATAAACACTGTTAAGCAGGAATATGGATAAATGCAGTAAAAAACAAATCCCAACATGTGATTCTAAGACTTAATGAAGATTGTCTACTTGCAAGTAGCAGCGGTGTATTGTATTTGGGATCTTTTAGAAACATTGTCTTATCCTAAAGGCACAATGAATTATGGCTGTTCTAGCACTGTGACGGATTGGCAGGGCAGTGGCTCAAGGCAGGTGGATCTCTTGGTTGTCTTGTCTCACTGACATTTAATTCCATTTACTTTTGAGTGAGACAAACAACTTCATTCAAAATAATCCTGCATTTGTATTATTTTAATTCCCATGAAGAGCATTAAAATATGTACTAATTATCACCAAACGACTAAAACTGTAGTCATATGGCATACCATAAGGTATATATTACTAAATGATCAAATTTAGCCTTAGTATAATAAGAAATTACTATTTCATTCTTTGATGTTAATGTGTGTCCAGTGTGAAGTCTTAATAGCTCCCTTCACTCCCAATCTAAGAGACCATATGGTACAACATATTTTTCACTAGTCTTGATTCTAGAAGGGAAGAGAGAGAGTAGGAAAACGAATTTTTAAAAAGTCATCAAATAAAGCATATAATACAGATAATCTCTCAATTTGGGTTGAGAAAACAATTAGCTGAGCATCTGTAATATGTACTCTCTGTTTGCTTCTGGTTTCCTGAAAATGGTCAGAGCTGGTGAGGTCTTTGGGCTGTACCACAAACTCCATGGGAAATCTGCTTAACATTGTATCCATAAAACTTGAGTTCAGCTCCAAGCCTCAAATTCCAACCACAGACTGGTCCTGTGCTAACCACACACAATCCCCTTCTGAACCTTGTACTAGAATTAAGGTATGGACAGTTCCATTGCTATCAAATATTTGAAAAGATGAGAACCAGGTCTCCATGCAGTGACATGCTGTTCTCTCACATGTCAAACAAGATTATTTAGGGCAAGTCTTAAAATCAATTCACATATGTGCCAAATACATGTGTATATTTACTGTTTGAAAAGATATTAAGAGGAAATAAATTGTGTATGATAAGAAAAATGCTCACCTCAGATTTTTTTTTCTTTTTCCAGAATTATGATCAAGTTCACTGTGTTTTTTGGGATTTTGAGAAAAACAGTAAGCATTTTTTTTTTTACAAACCTTGATTTTGCTCCAGACCATTTTCTATTTGGCAGCTAGATGAGAAGCAGTAGTGCTGAGGTTTCTGTCTTATTGGACCCCACAGAAACCTCTGTATGACCAACACATATGATATAATTTCCAAATCATATCCGTGTGTGGGAATTAAAAATTTTCCATTTGATAACATACTTATTTGGGTAATTGAGAGATCAGAAACATCACACAATTCAGAAATAAGCAAAGTATGAAGAAAGAAATTTGAAAGGCCCAGTGTGGAGTAGCCTTGAGCTGTTTGAAGAAAGTTAAGGAAAAATTACCTGATCATTTATCCATGCTTTCCCATAGGGAATTTTCAATATTTATCATCTCCTTCCCCACTTCTCTAGACCTCCCAATTTCTTCTAGGCCATATTACCTTGGGTAGGTTATATACCATCTCTAGACCCATTTTTATATTTTTTCATCAAGCAGATGAGATTTTAAAGAAGATTATTGGACAGGCAGATCTATAGATAGAAGAGAGACAGAGAGAAAGATCTTCCATTCACTGGTTCACTGCCTAAATTGTCACAGTGCTCAAAGCTGAATCAATCTGAAGCCAGGAGTCAGTAGATTCCTCCAGGTCCCCCACATGAGTGCAGAGTCCCAAGGATTTGGGCCATCCTCTTCTGCTTCCCCAGGCCACAAGCAGGGAGCTGGATGGGAAGTGGAGCAGTCAGGAAATGAATTGGTGCCCATATGGGATCCTGGTGTTTGCAAGAGGAGGATTAGCCAATTGAATCATTGTGCCATGCCTAGATGAGACTTGTTGGTTTCTAAAGGCTCTTCCTGCATGGATGACTATGAGGTTTGGGGGCAGTAAGAAAAGAGGCTCAGATGCTTCCTGCTGAGTGGATTCCCCTTTGGCTCTGTGTCTGTGTGAAATCTTCAGAAATATCACCAAATCTCAGGCAAATCCCATACAGAATCAATTCTTTGGAGTGCCAGGGCAGCTGTTTGAGTTCTTTGGGCTGTAACAGCTCTGCCTAGGAACCCTGTCCCCCCATCCCCCCCACCCCACACAATATCCTTGGAATTTGGGGACAAAAGAAGAAGTCACTTCCCATTTAGTTCCATGGGATGTGGAATACAACTCCATTGTGTTCTTTCCTGATTGGTCCCTTCCAAAGTTTACCAGGATTAAGAATTTTGTGGAGCAATGAGCTTTATCCTTCATAGCCTCAATCTTGTCTGTGTACATGACTGCTAGTGACCATGCACCTCACAAGCATCTTTTCTACCTTGCTGCCACTCTGCTCACCCAAAATCCTGACCCTCCTAAGTGTGTGTGGAATTTTTCCGGATTTGAAAAGAAAAATGGCTATACTTAGGTGCATGTCTTAGGAAAAGTCCCAGGTTTTAGTGCCACACTGGAGGTTCTATACTAAATCCATTCTAATCCCCAAGATCTATAGACTGTGATGGTATAATGGTTGATTCTAGAACTCTGAATATGCTCAGGAGAAGCTAGAAAGTTGCCAAGAAGGTAAAAGGTCCCAACTGCTTGAGAATTTGACTTTGGTACGAAATGCTTAAGGCCTTTTGCATTCTGTGTTGAACTTGTTTTTAACAGCGTCTATGCCAATCATGCCAATTGGGCTCAAGTGTCACCCTGTATGTCAGAGGTCCATGTCTTTCAAAAAGCTCTAGCTTTGCCTATTTCATATTGTTGGATACTTTAAAAGAAGTCATCCTGGCTCTGTCACTACTACAGCGTGATGGCAGAGCTGCTGTTCAGACCTGGAGTCTGTCCTAAAACTGGAGAAGTACGATTAAAAAAAAAATAGAAAACTGAGAGCCAAAGAAGTTATGCAATTTACCAAGTCCCCCAAAAGTCAATTTAGCTTATTAGACTTAATTTAATTTCAATGTTCAATTATACCTCTATCTTGCCATCTTAACAAACAATGCTAATTATAACACACATTCACATGGTGCATATAATGAGATGTTAAACATTTGTGAGAAAAGCAAAATTGCATTCAAATTCCCTTCTGTCTCTTGCAGATGGCCTAGGTGGATGGAATTCATCAGGCTGTAAAGTAAAGGAAACAAACATAAATTACACAATCTGTCAGTGTGACCACCTCACTCACTTTGGAGTTTTAGTGGTGAGTTTTGTCTTCATCAATCTTCAATAGAATTTTGACAGTGTATATTATATTAATAGCACTAATATATGTGTGAACTAAGTTATGTAAAAATGCAATGCAAATGCAAGCTCCCCACACCTTTGTCCATCAAAAGTAAAGTGGATTGAAACAGATGTTTATTTTTCTCCTTACAAAACTAATGCTTGCTTCTAAAATTTCAAACAGTACATGATCTCCTCTGCAGAAAACACCACCTTTAATAGCCATCTGTTATACAGTTAGAATGTATGTGTATTAATGTATAAGCACATTAATGTATATTCTTATTTGCAAAATTGGATAGAATTAGTCATAGTATTTTATTACTTTTTTCCACCTAGCAATATATAGGACAACTTTCTGCCAAAAATGTACCTATTTAGTTCAGTTTTTGGCAGCTTTATAGTATGTGTTTTGTGGGTGTAACACAAGGCATTAATGAATCCATCCAGGTGGACTTTTTAGCAATTACTGTTTTTTTTTTTCTCAAACATGAGCATCACTATAATATACATCCTTATTACTTTATATTGTGACACTTGTATAAATATTTCTGGAGGACAAATTGACACAGTAGAATACCTGGGCTAAAGGATATGACCATTAAAAATTTGAAAGTTTAATAGTTGTTGTCAAATTATAGTGTATGAAAGATGTAATGTTTATATACTCAGAATATGGTCAGTTCATTTCCCAGACTTAAAGCGTCAGAATCATCATTAACTCTTTCATTTCCTTACTCCCTCTGATCCTTCCTAATATCAAAGGTTGCTGATTTTTCCTTTGAAATGGGTCCCAGAGTATTCATTTTCTCTACCCATACCTGAATAGTTTCATAGTTCTCTTAAGTTACTATTATGTGAATATGTCTGAGTTGGCTTCTCCAGCAACTAATGGTAAGTCTTTTAAGGACTGAATGTCTGCTTTATGTTTCTGTAATTTTAAAAGAAAAAAAAATACTATTCAGTAAATAAGAGAGGCTGAATTGAGGTGTATTCAATTGTGAGAATTTTGCATGGCTCTTTCCAAATAAGCCAGAGCAATATAGCAGGATTCAAATGACTGGTGTTCATATCCTAGCTTTGTCAGTAATTTTTGTGATCCTGTTTCACTCATGTGAACCTTAATTTTGTCTTTTGAAATAAGTAAAGTTGATTAGAGCCCCTAAACTTTTGCACTATCGATATTCTGGCCAAATAACTTTATTTTGGGGGGCTGTTCTGTGTATTGTGAGATGTTGAGCAGCATCCTGGTTTCTCCCCATTGAATGCCAGCAGCAATCCCCACTCCCCACTCCTCCTCATGTTGTACATACCAACACATCTCCAGACACCGCCAAATGAACCAGTGAGAAGGGAAGAAATAACTCCCTGTTGAGAATAAAACAACATGTGAGTCCTGGATCTCTATAACCATCTGATAAAAGCTATTGTAATTTCTTCTCAGATGAGTGTACACATATAGTAACATTTTTTGCTTGTCATTTCAGGTCTTTTATCGTCCTCAGATTAAGAAATTACTCAATTATCTGATCTCTATGGTCCATTTTTTCTTAATTTTGTGAAAATTAGTGAAGGTCTCAGAAAAAGGAACATTTTTGATGTTCCATGTAGTGTTTTGGGTCGCCGAGTGGAGACAATGATTTATTTTGCATCACAAATTCACATCTATTGGTTTAGTTATATTTCAAGTGCAGAACATATTAATGACAATGAAATTAAGGACTTAGTGTTTTCTCAGTATTATTAATGACTCTCCATGTCTTGTACATGGTAAAATACTGTAAGGTTCTCAACAAAACTTGAGTATATCGTAAATCCATCCATATAATGTGGTTTTATAAGAACTATAACAAAAATGTTATATATTCTAGGAACTTCCTGTGAGTGCTGAAAGTAGTTTGTCACAAACTTCCTCTAGAAAATGTATAAAATGCCACATATTACATTCCCTAGGATTTATCGAGGTCTACGGTGGATACAGTGAATGAACGGATATTGGTGCTCATAACACACACTGGATGTGGAATCTCCTCCATTTTTCTGGGAATTGCAATGATGACATACACAGTTTTTCAGTAAGTTGGTGCAGCCTTATTTTAATTTTTTTGTTTGATAAATACTGTTGTCATTGGAACCTTGTTAATGTCACCAAAAATCCTAGTAAGAAGAGGTCAAATCCATTAGATTATGAAGTGGACAAATTAATAATAAAACAAAACAGAACAACCAAATGTCCTCTAAACAAAATAGGTTAGTTGATTTTTAAAATCAAACAGTTTGAGAAAGTAAGTTTTCTGTACCAGGGTGTGAGAACATTAGCCACACAGACTGTTGATAAAGTGGATATCATTAAAGATTTTCATTAAAACTTTCCCCACAACTGCAAAATTTAAATCAATAAACATTCAATGGAAATGCAAAATTATCAAAGACCTGTGTGTACATTCTAATTTAAAACATATTTTTAATTTCCACTAAAAGTCCTTTCATCACAATTGAATGAAAAAGCAAATCACAGACTAGTAGACATTGTTGCAATGTATATACCTCCCAAACGAGTTGCACATAGAATAAAGAACTCCTACAGTTAAAAAGCAAAAATGCGGACAATACAATTTTAAAATGAGCAAAAGACTTGAATAAACACCACAAAAACGGAATCTATCCCCAAATCTTACTCAAATGGCTAGTAAGCATATGATAGTTATCAATATAATTTATCATTAGCAAAATGCTGATGAAAACCACAATCATATGTAAGGGTTTCTCAAAAACTTCATGTAATCAAGATAATGTGCTTTTTTTATAAGCACTTTGAAGTGGTCTCTACCTAAAAAATGTATATTTGTTTATTTCACTTGGAAGTCAGAATTACAGAAAAAGGGAAAGACAGAGAGATCTTTCATCTGTTGGTTCACTCTGCAAATGTCCACCATGGCCAGAGCTGAATTAGTCCAAAGCTGAGAGCCAGGAGTTCTTCTGGGTCTACCTCATGGGTACAGAGCCCCTAGGACTTGAGCTATGCTCCACTGGTTTTCCAAGCCATTAGCAGGGAGCTGAATCATAAGTGGAACGGCTGGGACTCCAACTGACACCTATATAGAGTGCTAGCACCACAGACAGAGGATTATCATGATATGTCACTATGCTGGCCCTAGTACACTGTACTTCTGTTCACCCATTAGAATGGCTAAAATTACTGTTGACAATAGCAAATGTCAGCAATTATGTATAACAACTGATGGTTGGAACGTAAAATGGAGCACATATTTTCAGAAATTGTTTAGCAATGCCTACTAAAAGAGAGTGATTATCCCTAAAATTTCACTCTTAGGTGTATATTCAAGAGAAACAAGTGCATATGTCCACTGATATACTTATACTTTTGTATAAGTATATTCACAGCAGTTAACCCCAATGCATATTAACAGGTGACTGTATGAGTAATGGTAGATTTATAGAAGTGAAATTCTATACAGCAGTAAAGAATAAATAACTTCTATATAATACAATATGATATCTAAATAGTACAAGAATAGAACTAAGCAAATCATACTAGTGAAAGAAAACAGCACACAATATGTTTTCATCATACGAAGTTCCAAGTACAGGAAAAACTGAATCTATGGGGATATAAATTGTAATATTGGTCACTTCTTGTGAGGAGTATTAAATTGGAGAATTCTGAAGGAATTTTCTCAGTGTGCAAAATAATCTACCTTTTAATCAGGGTGGAAGTTCCACAGCTGTATACATTTTTAAAGATTCATTAATGTGCATTCTTAAGAATTGTAAATTTTACAATTTGACCTAGTTTTTAAAACATGCTCAAAATACAAACTGCAAAATTTAAATCAATAAACGTTTAACACAAGGTAAAAGAATTAAAGAGAATACACACATGTATGTATGTGTATAAATACATATACATGTTTAGATTTATATATAAATATATATATCTATATATATGTTTTTCAGATTTTGGGAAATTCCACATCAATTTCCACAAAGTAAGACTGTGCTCACTCAGCAAAAAAACTTACAACATTTGCTGTTGTGATACCAAACGTTGGCCTCTTTGAAAATATGCAAGTAACTGTAACTAGTAAAAGTTGCCGTAGCCAATGTGTAGATCCAGCTTGCCAAAGTGCTGATGAAGTCATCTTAATACGCAGGAAGCGTCTTCCTTCATTCTTTCAAAAAAAATAAATCGAGTGAAAAGGGGCCACCTAATTGAGAGAGACTATTCTTTTTTCCTGTTAATGAAAGTCATCATATTTGGGATATGTACCTCTACTGGAAAGAGGAAGAGAGCTCTAAAATATAATATATATAAAGTAATAATTTTAACAGCGAATTATTTTCTCTTTTATTGTGGAGAAAAGTTGTGGCAGTGCTTAATCAAGAAGGGATTCTATCTAACCTAGCCTACTTTTCTTTTAGCAAACTTCGGAAAGATTTCCCTTCCAAAATCCTTATCAACCTGTGCACAGCACTACTGATGCTAAACCTGGCATTTCTGGCCAATTCCTGGTTGTCATCATTTCAGAAAGTGGGGATCTGTATCACAGCTGCGGTGGCACTTCATTATTTCCTGCTTGCTTCTTTGTCTTGGATGGGCCTGGAGGCAGTTCACATGTATTTTGCTCTAGTCAAAGTCTTCAACATATACATTCGTAATTATATCCTTAAATTTTGCCTAGTTGGTTGGGGTAAGTATATATGCCATTGTTCTTGATGCTTCTGTTTTAAACCTGTATGTCTCTACAATTCCAGCTCTATCTCAGTGCATTTGTTCTGCTAGAATTGAATGTCACAGACAATTTTATGTGTTAAAGATGTATTCATTTAATTATGTTTGAAAGGCGGAGAGAACCATCCAATGATGCACTCCTCCAACTCTTACAACAACCTTAGCCAGGATGATAGGCTGCCAGGAGCCCAGAACTCAGTCTGAGTCTCCCATGTGGGTAGCAGACACCCAGGAACTTGAACCATGATCTGCTGCTTTCTAGAATGTGCATAATCAGAAAGCTGGATCAGAAGCGATACCAGAGGTGGGGTTGTGAGGTAGCCTGTAAAGCTACCACTTAGAGTATCAACATCCTATCTGAGCATCAGTTTGTGTCCCAGATGCTCCAGTTTTTATCCAGCTCCCTGCTAATGTGCCTGGGAAAGAAGTGGAGGATGGCCCATGTGTTTGGGCCCCTGATCCCACACGGGGGACCTGAAAAAAAAAATTCCTGGCTTGTAGCTCCTGGCTTTTGACTGGCCCAGATTTGGCCATTTTGGCCATCTGGGGAGTGAATCAATGGATGGAATCATATAGATCCAAGACTGGAACCCAGACCCTTAGATCTAGGATGTGGATATGTCAAATGATATCTGCTTCACTTCAATGAGCTTTTGCCTCCAGGGTCCCTATCCAAAATCATAGGAAAGTCCACTGGAGAAATTACTCAGTACCAACTTCTGTTAATGTCATAAGTAATGAATTAAGGATTGGTTCACTAATCTTTGTTTTTTAATATCTCTCTCTACTTATTTTCTCTGTACACTCAACTCATAACATTTATTATGGGAAGCTGGTACAAAAATATTTATTGAGCCCTTGTTTGTGTGCTGGACTAAATGCTGGATCTACAATAGTAAGCTTGTCTCATTTTACCCCTTCATCTACAGAAGCTATGGTCACAACAGGTACTGATATGACTATTGACAATTAGGCATCACTTAAGTGTTGTCAAACATTATTCTAGGTGCTTTATGTACACCTTTAATCTTCACACTATTGCTCCGGGATAGGTTTCATCATTGTTCCAATCTAATGGATGAGAATACAAGACACAGAGAAATTAAGTAATTTGCCAAATGCTCACATCTGACAACTGGCAGAACTGGAGTCTGTCTCCACAATTTGGACTATTAAACCTACATAGTTTACTATATTGTTAAGGAATAGGGAATGGAATTGAAATAGGTGAAAAGAGTCAGTCTTGATCTGACCTACCACACTTCGTGACTGTGACCATCTCAACTGTCACTGGAAGATGACAGAAATGGAATTCAGCATGTGTATTTCCTAATATTAATGCCATTTCATTGATTTCTTTTTCTAGATTTCTAACTGACAGGGCCAGTGCAGCTGCTTTCTCCCATTCCCCTCTTTTATTAAAGGAGATTGGGTTCAAAAAATGTGGTGGATGTATAGAAAATGTATGCTATTACACACAAGATACATTAGAAGATATATTTTATTTCACCACCTTTGTGAAGACAATAGCTTGCTAATTAGCTGCTCATCCTTTCAATGAATTCATTAGCATAATACATGCTTTCATTGGATACTCAGCACTATTATCTGTGCTAATGTGGGGAGCAGAGATGGGCAAATATTAAACAAGGCATAATCTAAAAAATTATTTTAATACATTTTGGAATCCAGCAGAAACACAGAGCCAAAAACAGTCAATCTACTTCTCCCTGTGCCTGCCCACCTCCCATTTTGATTCTTCCAGAGGACTGACAACATTGTGGAGAGGTTCCATGAATAATCTAAAAAGCAGATAATGTACTTATGGTTAATTGTGAATGTCAAGTCCACACACAAATCAATGCCAAACCTTGGCTGACTTGGAAAGTAAAGACAGATACAAGAAACCATTCTTAAATTCAGCTTATTTCTTTTATTACAGTGAGGGGAACAGCAGCCAAAAAGGACAGCTCCCAAGTTCTTGTCCTACGCTATAAAAAGAACGACACCAAAAACAGAAGGCAGCAGATGACCACAGCCTGAGTTGTGGCATGGCCTGTCCCTGGGGAGCGACTCTGGACATAGCTATGTGATTTTCTATCCCGTAGTTCTGTCCACAGCAGGGCAGGATACAAAGCAGCCCCAAATGACTGTAGAACCCTGGCAGGTGAGGGGAAATTATCTCCTGACAACCTCCCAGAGGAGACTGACAGGAGGATAGAAGATGGCATGGAAGCAACTCCTCACAGGCCTCCTGTCTTCTGGCATTTATGAAAGACCACAGGCACTCCAGCAAAACTCAGATAAGCTACAGTGCGAATGTTGGCCGGTGTGGCTTAGATAGACACATCCTAGGTTGTGACAGAGTCATTGCTAAGCCCCCCCTAGAGAGCTTCAGAGCACCTACATATGTTGGACAAATGAAATCGACCTTAAGGAAAGCAAATATTAGCCTCTGCGTATGTCAGAAGCTCTCCCTTCCAACTACCAAAGCAACTCAAGCAACTTGCTGCAAAGATTTTTCCTTGATTTAAAACACTGTCCAAAACAGTAGTTTGGTATACATTTTTCAAAACACACCCCCACTTTCCTCTTCCTCATATACAAGTAAGGATGAATATAGTTTGAGGACTACCACACAGATTCCAAACTCAAGGGAGGCTTCCGCTCAACCTTCCATTTCAGACTCGAATGGGATATTAAAAAAAAAAAATCTGCAGTACACTAGGTACGGTGCTGTCTGCCAGCTGAGAAATTTGAAGAGATGACCCTGTTTATCACAGAATAGGGAAGTGGAAGGGTTTTTAAGATGCTTGGCACACTGAGGTTTGGCACAGATTTGGAAGGTATCTTACAAAACTCACAACATGTGGGTGGGCAGGTGCTCTTAGTTTGGGAGGAAATAATACACCTTAAAAAAAAAAAGACATCATTTAAGTTTTACAAATGTACATGAAACTGGATTTTAAAATCTTTTGTCTTTATTCACATCACGTTGGCCATTTTGACTGAACTGATTGCTTTATTATAGTCTAACTGAATGCACTGGTCGTTAACTGGTCGATCTAGTCAAAATGTCAAACTAGTAACGAGTGTGGAAACAGCTTTTCTGTCAAACAAGACCTGCAGGCTGCAACTGATTGCTTATGCCCTTCCTTCAAGGTGACCTAGACCAAAAGACACTGGGACAATATTGAAAGGGAGAAAAACTATTGGCGGCCCGTCAGTGGAGAAGGAATGCTTCATCGGAATTTGCATTCTGATAAGCTAGACAATTCCTTTGCTAAGCTGATTTTTTTTTGGGGGGGGGAGAGAACTAGAGCTAATTTTAATAACCTGTGGGTGTTGTATTTGAGCTATTGGCATGCTGTTTAATTTAGTGGATTGGAGAACTCCTAGAAATGTTTAACATTGAAAAATTTACAAATATTTTGCAAACAATGGTATTTGGTGCCCGCACATCTGTGGCTCATTTAAACAGTGTCACTGTATCAGCACCCATATCATTGATCAGGATTCCTCCTGAAGGACCTGACAAGATGTTTTGGCCTTGCTTTCCCGCTCTAGGAACTCCAGCCATCATAGTGGCAATCACACTCAGTGTGAGAAAAAACCCATACGGAACTCTGAGCCCAGCGACTCCTTTGTAAGTACTGGTATCTCTGCTTCTCAACTGGTGGGGCCCTGGCCCAGCAGTATACAATGGGGTATTCCTGGTCTGGGGTTTAGTCTTGGTGCTGGCTGCAGTATTGGCCTGAGCCTTTCTCTGTAAACATAGTCATGGCCACATTTATGTAATGAGTAGGTGCCTGAACTCTTTCAGAGTTTTTGACAAATTGCCTTACCTCTCACTTCCATTTGTGCCACTGGAAAATTGGAATAAGAGTTAAAAGGACAGTGTGTATGTAAAGTGCTCAGCATGGTGCATGTTCCACAGTAAGTGCTGTGTAGTTAGCTCCTGTTGTGATGTTCAATCCCATAGACCGTTATAAGGTTAGTGGCTTCTAGATGGAAGTCCAGAGATGAGTCAGGAGATATTTTCCAATTTCCAACAATAGAGCTTTTCCCTGAAGAAGAGCACAACCCTTCTTTGTCAACTGGATCAGCTTTGTCGTCTTGTTTTCTTTTTCACTTGATATGTGGGCTCATATTTTTAGTTTTCTCAACCACAGCCATAAGAGAGTATACACTCCCTCCATTCCACCTCTCTAGAACCTTCATTAATTGGCTTGTAAATAGTTACTCTGTGATCCTTTTACTATATACTCTCATTTTATATCTTCTAAATGTTTTCTGCATGTTATCATCACTGTCCCTGTGTTTTGTTACCTTCAACTTTTTGTCCACTGTAGATTTCTTCTCTGACTGAGCTGGAATCAAATAAAGAGGGCTTGCTCCCTTTCATATTCAGATGACAGCTTTCAGAGGATCAAAATTATATTGCCCTTTGCAGCTGATGCTTTCTAATTAAAATCCTCATTATCCATTCTTTCTCTCCCCTTTTTCTACTCTTCCTTCTTATCACCCCCTCTATCCCTGCTCCATGCCTGTTTTTGACTGTAATGGTCCCCAGTGACTACCTAATGACAATTCTTCAAATATCAAGGTAAACACATAACCAGAGCATCAACTCCACTCTTCCCTCCAAAAAGCCTTTTCATATGTGAATTGGTCAGTAAGAGGTAGAGTTCCCTAAATGCTATTTAAACATTAGATTTTGGATATATAATTCATATACACAGTACAAAATGCAAATGTACAGAAGGGTAGAAGAGGAGAGTAAGCCATACCCCTAATCCCAGCTACTCAGTTATCCCATTGGAAGTAACTTACTACCACTTTGTTACTAGCAACTTAATTTGTATAGATATTTTCTTGGATTTTATTTGGTTGTTTTTATTTTATTTTTTGAAAATGACTTATTTGGAGGTAGAGTTACAGAAAGAAGAAGAAGAAGAGAGAGAGAACACAATAGAAAGAGAGATTTTCTGTCCACTAGTTCACTGCCCAGATGGCAGTAATGACTAGAATTGGGCCAAGTTGGAGATTGAAGCCAGGAGCTTCACCCAGGTCTCCCATGTGGGTACAGCCATCCAGGTACTTGGGCCATCTTTATTTCTTTTTTTCCCATCTTCTATTTCTTTCTTGGGCACATTAGCAGGTCTGGAAGCGAAACAGTCAGGATTTGAACCAGCACCCATATGGGATGTCTACATGGCAGGTGTGCCATGATACAAGTTCCATGTTTTATTTTATTTTTAGTTGACACTAATAATTTAAATGTTTATTAGGAAAAGTGTGATATTTTGATAACATGTTTAAATTATATAACAATGAAGTTAAGACATTCAGCATGTCCATTGTCTCAAAGAAGCATTTCTTTGTGGTGAGAGCATTTAAAGAAATTTCTTCCAACTATTTTGAAGTATATAATATAATATTGTTGAATGTATTCAACCTACTCTTCAGTCCGACATGAAAACTTATTTCTCCTTTTTCCCCAGTGTTCATCCCACTTTCTACTTCCCTTTGTCACCTCTACAATGCCCCCCGCCAAACTCCTGGTAACCACCATTCTGCTCTCTATTGCTATGACATTAAGTTTTGAAAAATTCATTTATGAATGATCTCCAGCATACTTTATTACCTAAGTGATAATTGTACACCATTTGGCACCTTGATATTTTCACTTAACAATATATGTTGCAGGTGATTGTCAATCCAAACATGTATTTTATTAATTTTCTATATAATCTCTTTCAAAGCTAACCTTAGAACCCTACATATTAGACCATAATAGGGAAATTAAATTGCTTTCTTCATACCCTCACAACACACACACACACACACACACACACACACACACACACACACATTCACAAATACATGGAAGTATCCACAGTAATATGAATAATATGTCCAAATCAGACTTTCCTGATTTTGTAAAAGAGGTCTCAGTTAAATTGACACACAGCGAAATAAGTCAAGCTCGTCTGTTTTTGAAAATCAGAAGCAGTTCCTCTAGTGATTAGAAATGGTTTTAAATAAGGCATCTGTCCATTTGAGCCCTTGTGTATTTCTTCTTTAATAGAAACTATGAAGTCATTTGTAGTCCAAGTGCAACACAAGTAGAGCTGTCCCCTTTCTGTTGCATTTTCATTAACTCTGATAATTTCATCATTGTTTGAGCTAGCATTCAAAAAAGATACTCAAAAAAAGTACGTTCTTTTACTGTGATATTTATCATGCAAAGTAGAATTCATCCTGCAAATAAAAGCTCAGGTGTAAGGTTGGAAGGAGGAGAGCCACGTTGTGGGAAAACACATAATTTGTTTTTCTACTGTTAAGGAAGAGAAAAATCTCCTGGAGGAATTGGACTAAGAGCTCCCATATACGTGGGACAGAATCATACTCTAGGATTTCTGATGCGGCATTGGAAAGATCTGTGAATTGGGGCACAGGAAACTGGGAGTCGAGTGGCAGGATCGTCTCCACTGGGTGTCAGTGAACTCTTGTCAAATCAGTTCACTTACCTAGGTCTAGGTCTGTACTTACATGGAATGAAACTGACTCGCGGATCCTCAGTCTACAAAACAGAAATTTATGCTTTGATGTCTCCTTCCTTCTCTCATCTCATCTTTGTTTCTTGCAGTTGTTGGATTAAAGATGATTCCATCTTTTATGTCTCCGTGGTGGGTTATTTTTGCCTTATATTTCTCGCGAATTTCTTCATGTTCTGCACTGTTCTGGCTCAGCTGAATTCTATGAAACTCCAGAGTCGGAAGACTCGGCGGAAGATGACCCTGCGTGACTTCAAAGGCACAACAAGCCTGACGTTCTTACTTGGCCTCACTTGGGGCTTTGCCTTTTTTGCCTGGGGACCTGTGAGGATCTTTTTCTTGTACCTTTTTGCCACTTTTAACACGTTTCAAGGTCAGTGCTCCTTCTGAGTCCTTTCTGTGCTACCTAGATCTGCACCAAGCAGCTCGCTGCTGCTTGGGAAACTTCTCTCATTTGTTGGAGGTTCTAAGGAGAACAGAATACCCCAGGAAGCCTCTGCTCTAGGAGAGTTGCCAGGCAGCCTCTAGAGACATGAGCTAAATGTTAGCTTCATTCAGTGAACGTACAGCTCACTTTCTCTCCCAGGGAGATGGGAAGATGCCAAGATACTAACCTAACTCTAACTAGTCTGCAATGTCTATATCAAACATCAATCAACAGTAGTTCTTGTAGTAGCCACTGCACTAACACATTGTAATTATGAATGTACATATTCACACTCATGTTGACATTTTGAAGTAGACAATCTAGTTGAACATAGTAATTACTGAATAGTAAGAACACTGTGTTTTGAGCTCATAGGTTGACTGCATCAGATATTCTGATGTTTGGGGGGAAAACCATAGCAGGAAATTGTACAATCATACAAAAATGATGATTAAGAGCTGTGGGCCAGGGCAACAAGTCAAGGTGCTAGTCTTGGTTTTTGCCACAAACTGACCACAAATCACCAAACTGGTTAAATGAGATGATTATAAGCTAAGAGTCCTGCAGTTCTTTAGTCTAATTCTTATATTCTGGTAAGAGCAAAGAATGATCAAATAAGTAGCAAAATGATAGACAAAAGATAGCATGAGAAAATCTAGTAAAATCTGAGCATTAGTTGATATTTTTTTCCAAATTAATTTTTACAAGTTAAAAAATCTTGAGGGGGATGTGCATGATTGTTTTCACGGGAATGTCAAACTTTAACCCTCAATGTTGGTTCAGTCAGTTTGGGCTAATCAAACTGGGGTTTCAGTGAGTCTTCCTTTTATTGCCCTCCATTGAAAAAATTTCATTCAAAACATTTCCTTTTCCAAAGTGCACTACACTGGAAGTTCCATAGGATTTTCCATCAGCAAAGGAATTTTATGGTCAAAGAGGCATTGGGAAATGTGGCAAAGTACTTTCCTTTATTGTTAGAATAACACAATACACATTAGCATGGTAGAGATTCTGAGAAATGTTAAAAACAATTGTTAAACTGTTGACATATGCCTTATTAGAGATATAAACCAGTTTAGACTATCCTGAAATCTGCCAAGTTCAGCAAAATTATGCTTCAACACTATTAACTGCTAAATACTAAAATGAGGATAGACACAAGACAGCTGAATAGTACCCTATAGCCATTTTAAGGTGTATAGAAACTGGCTGCATATAAACTAAAATTGAAATGTCAATGAAGTAGTCAAAGGATGTGGTTAAGAACTTGAATTTTTTAGCATATTGGTTATTCGATACCATGTCAACTAATTCCATAATGTTGTAAATTGTTGTTGATGTTATGTTGGGGCTTTTAATTGATTGGGATGATACTCTGCCAGCTCTGCCTTCAGACCAGAGATGGTCTCCCCAAGAAAATGTTGAATTTATCTGGACAATAAGATGCTGGACTCTATGCTTGGTATACTCTTGCAATGAAAGAATCTCAACTGAATTTGAACTGTAATACTGCAACAAGGTGGAGGAATCTACCATGGGGGAAGGGCATGGGAAGGTGTTGGGGAAATCCCAGAGCCTATGAAACTGTGTCACATAATGCAATGCAAGTAATAAAAAAAAAGTTATTCTAATTTCACAACCATTTGTTGTAATGGTTGTTAACCCCTTAGAAGCCCTGGGTAAGCTGATTTGACAAGATTTTACCCACTATGTGTAATAACTCATGAAACCATCTCATTCCAACATAACAAAAGTAAATTTCCTTAAAGATTCTGTGCCATCAAATTTTGCTTTTTATACAGTAATTATCCTTATCCACAGTTTTATCTTCCACAGTGCTAGCTACCTCACTCTGAAAAAATTAAGTGGAAAAGTCCAGAAATTCACAAGTTTTAAATAACCTGTATTACACCACAGTGCTACAATTGTTCTGTTTTGTTGTTTAGTGATGCTAATCTCTTCAAGGGGATAATTTACAATAAGGTGTTTTGTGGGTATACATGTATAAGGACAAATAGTATGCATAGGTTTTGATACTATCTGTGGTTTCAGAGGTCCACTGAGGGTTTTGGAACATATTCTCCTTGTCTAAGGGGGACTACTATACAACCAAATGCTGACTGAGATGTGAAAAGGCACAAAAGGCACTGTTGTTATTCCACATGCCACTTTCATTGCTTCTAGGTGTTAGGAGTAGACATTTGAGGAGCTTTTCACTCCACTCACAGTTGGTTTTCTTTGAGGATTTTAGCCCTTGATTTCATGCTAGGTTGCTCACTGAAGGAAGCCCTGATGATGATTCTACACTTTTTCTCCAGACAGAATTCCCAGACCCAGACTTAGGTATTCTAACTCAATACTCTAGCACAACGCTTAAACCTCATGGACCAGCCACCCTTGGCAGAGAATTCCACACAAGTGGGTTAAGAACAGAAGACTATGCAGACCATTTTCTCAGTGCTGACTCCAGGCTACTCTTTGGATCATTACACCTGCAGATAAATGTATTCACCCCATGAAGAGAAGGATTAAAGGAAAGCTGACAACAAAACAAGAAAGCAATATCTATCTATCTATCTATCTATCTATCTATCTATCTATCTATCATCTATCTATCTATCATTTAATTATTTCAGAGAGGGAGAGAAGAGGATAGCAATAAATGGAGAGAGTGAGAGCAAGAGTGAGCCAGAGAGAGAGAGAGACTTTCATCTCTCACACCTCAAATGGCTACATCAGCAAGAGCTAGGACAAGCTGAAACCAAGAACCTGGAACTCTACCTGGGTCTCCCATATGGGTGTAGGAGCCAAAGTACTTGCACTACCTGTGATTGCTTTCCCAGCTGCATTAGCAGGGAGCTAGATTGGAATTAGGATAGTCTGAACTTGAACTAGCATATATATGAGATGCCAGAGTTAGAAGAGATAGATCTTTTTAAAAAATAATTATATTATTCCATAATACAGTTCCATATACCCCTGGAGTTCCCCTCCCCTCCCAAATCCCCTTCGCCCACTGACTTTCCCTACATTATTGCAATAATATAGTCATTTGAAAACAGCCCTAAGTCCTTCATTCTGCTATTTAAGTGTATCCTAACATTGTAGGCATGGACAATGACAGAAGTCCAGTATCTTATTGTCAAGATACATCCAACAGTTTCATTGGGAGTTCATATTTATTTTGCAAATAGAGACTCATACTGCAGTGTATCTTCACATTGGATATGACAGTCTCTATGACACAGTTACTATACATTCCCTTAAATGAAAAGCCATAAAACAAAATCAACAACAGAGAAAAATAAAAAATGTACAATACTATGAAGTTAAATAATAACATGCTACTTAATGACCAGTGTGTCGCTGGAGAAATTAAAAAAAAAAATCAAAGACCTTCCTGAAGCAAGTAATGTTATTGTGTAACCTAGAAGTCAGTGAGGAAATTAATAAGGAAAACAAAAACCTATTTTGAATGAATGAAAAGAAAAAACAAAAAAGAAAAAAACCTCTGAGATGTAGCAAAAACAGTATTGAACTTGCTATGCCACAACACCAACTCCTAATTATATATTTTTGTAGAATGATTTGTTTGTTGTAATTTTGAGAGAGAGAGAGAGAGAGAGAGAGAGATTTCCTCCGAGTTAATTCACTCCCCAAATAATTGAAACAGCTGGACCTGGATCAGGATGAAGTCAGAAGCTCTGGACTCAATCTAGATATTGATAAGGGTTGCAGGAACCCAAGTACATGAGCTTCTGCCTTCCAGGATGTGCATTTTGAGGGCTCTGGAATGAAAAGCAGAGCTGGGACTTGAAAACCAGGCACTGTGACATGGGTTGCAGGCCATCTAAACAGTTCTTAACTGTGGCACCAACCTTTAACTCCTGAGTATTTTTTTTAATTTTTATTGGTTATGAGTATTTCTTGAAGGTTAAAACCAATCAGATCCAAGTTGTATCTGTTTCTAAAGATATGCTTCATACCAACCAAGATCCAAGTCTGACTAGTTCTGCCTATAAGACAGAATGTGCCTACCTGTAGCAAGGTGGTTTTCAGAGTGTTGTTTCAAACTCAGCTTACACACACACACACACACACACACACACACACACACACACACACACACAACTTCAAAACTGGAATTTAGTAAAACAAATGAATGAAGCAGTCATTCCAGTGATAACCTTGCAATTCCAGCTAAACGGGGTTGACTTGTTGTCAAGGGAGAAAATCATAGTGCTTGGAATGAGCCTTTTTTTGTGAAGGAGGAGTGCACAAATAAAGACGCAGGTGGCAAAACCTCCCCTCTCCCAACATGCCTGTGGTCTAGTGAGTAAGCAAATCAATGTGTTATTAGGAAGAAAAAAGAAGGCTATAAGGCAGAGAGGGAGAACTGGCAACCAGTTCATTGGAACTGACACAATAACCTTTAAGTTGGAGAACTAATCAAACCGCATACAGGAAATTAGAGCAGTAATAGGTGCTTGATGTCACTGTGACCCCTTGTTCAGACTGAAGATGAAGGGATTTTACCTGCTCTGAGACTGGAGTCTGCTCTCATGTGGATGTTACACCATCTTCTAGGTGGTTGCTACTCAGAATAACAGTGAATGTTTCTGAATTCATTGCCCCTTGGTTGTTTAGTTGCCAATAGAACGGAAGTCTTTAAAAGAGTTAGTGAGACATGCCATTCTGTTTAGCCTACAGATTTCTGCCTCCCACCTGGAATCATAGTTTCAAAGCTGGGGCCAGGGAACCAAAATTTTCTCATTGCAGCTCCCCTGAAACTTTCAAGGGACAGAGCTCACTATTGCATAAAGAAGAGCAGTTAATTTATTATCAACTCTGACTCTTACACCTGTTTTCCTCAACTGAATGTAGCATAGCACAATGGTTAAGACCTTGGATTATGCAGTCAGACTGCCAGTCCAATTTTAACTCTGTGATTTGGATCAAGTCATTGCTTAATAAACACTAGCTGTGTTTTTACATGGATGCTCAGTAGAATCCCCGCCCCCTGCTCCTGGTTCTAAACTTGTATCCACATGTAAAAGACCTAATTTGTCCTTTTTCTTGATGATTGTTTCAGATATCTGACTGTTGCTACCACTTTTTTTTCACTCTGTGTTTCTCATGTCAAAATTGTTTCTTAACCAGAAATGGCATCCTAGTTCTGTCATTTTCCCTCAAGTTCATCACTTTGATGTATTTTTGACTACTTTGTTGTCATCATCTCTTCAAATAAAATCTCTCAAAATAAGCATTGAACATGATACTGGTGGGAGGTATGGTCAAACACTCTGGGAAGACACAGCCATCTACCTTAAGATGTTTTCCTTCCAACAAGACCCTAATCAAACTTAGATTTAGAAGCATTTTCTACTGGCATAGGCTCAGTTTACAATGGATTAAGACCACTTCACTGCTTTTGTTACCTTCAAGACAGATAGCCAATGTGGAGACCAGACCAACACTGTATAGAGAAGAAAGTTTCGCAACATGCACTTAAGGCAAAACAAATACTTTGAGGACCATGCAGGTATTGTTAAGGTTGCAGAAGCATCTGAGAGCTTATGGATTGAGTGCTTGGAGTTCAAATCAACAAACATCTATTGTGCTCCCACATGTTGCACTGGAAACAAAAGAAAAGTGATGCAACAATGAAAAGGAAGCACACCTCAGCCTTCCCAAGACTTAACAGGGATTCCTTTTGCCAATTTCACACTCAAGTTTAGGAAACCCAATTGCAACTTGGAGAATTGGTAATTAGGACAATCTTAAATGTGATTTTTCATATCTCAAGGAGATACAGTAGCGGAGAGTGCTGATAGACACTTTGAGAATATCCCTCCCCAAAGAGGTGTGTTTATCTTCTCAAAATTGCACTGATGAAATACATAAAATCTCTTCTTTTTAAGTTTCATGTATATATATATATATATATATATGAAAAAAATATTTTCCCCTCCCTCTTACAGGATAGCATTAAGGCTAGCAATGGAAATTAAGGGCAACAAACACATACTTTCTACACAATGTAATTTTTTTCAGAGTGCATGTCTTCATTGTTCTGTTGTGTAATAATATCCTCAGCTTAAAACAACAAACATTTATTATCTTACACACTGCTAGAGGGTTAGGAATGCAGGAGTAGCTTAGCTGTGTTTTTCTCATTCCAGGACACTCATGAAGTTGAAATCATGCAGGGCCGCCACAATCTACAGGTTAGACTCACTCTGGGCAATCTGCTTCAAGGAAGGCTCATTCACATGGCTATGGTCTGGGAACCTTAGTTCTTCACCACACAGGCTCCTTCACAGAGGTGCTAGAATGTTCTCAAGAGAAAATACTTGGATTCCTTTATAGTAAGTGAAAAGTGATGAGAGAGAGAGAATCTTTTTCTACCCTAATATCAGAAGTGACATTCCATCCTTCCTCCATGCTTTATTGGTATAATGCAGAAGGAAATCATAGGACAAGAATGCTCATTGATAGGACAAGAATGCTCATTGATAGCCATCTCAGAGACTGGATACCAGATTGAATAGCTGACCTTATCTCTCATACACTACAGTGAGTAGAAAACAGCCTAGAGAGAAGAAAGTGAAGGCAGGCCTAGACTTTATGCCATCACCATATTTGTGATGGGGGCTAGAAAAATGACATCAGAAAACCAGTAATGGCAACAGGGTTATGAAAAGGACTGATTTTTTCCTCCTTGCCCAGGTTTCCTCATTTTTATATTTTACTGTATAATGAAAGAGAGTGTACGAGAGCAGTGGCAGATGCACCTCTGCAATGGGAGATGGCGACTGGATAACTTTTTTGGTAAGATTTTGAATTTGATGTGGTTAACAAAATCTATCGGATGAACTTGCCTCTTCATTGAGTTCATATAGTTTCAACATAGAAATGAAGACTATTTTCTGTTATGAAAATCCTTTGCGCTTTTGAGCTGAGATGAATGAAGTAAAGAATTTGATTCTGTCTGTATTTAAACCTAAGGAAGCTTTATTGCAACACAAATTCCTTGGTTTGCTGTGCTTGCTGTCACTTTGCCTTTGATTTGATTAAAAGAATACTGGTTGTCTGCTGTGGTCAAGGTACTGGGTTGCAGGGATTTCCGTCCAATGGGCTACATTGGGTTACGTAGACAAGGAAGCAAGCAGTTACAGTGGATATGACCAAAAAAAAAAAAAAACCAAACAAACAACAACAACAACAACAACAACAAACTTGTTGACATACCTGTAGCTGCCTGGCCAGTTGGCTACCTGGGGGACTGAAGGCTTTTCTGTAGTGGATTTTGATGTTGCTTGCTGATAGTGGTGTTTCCCTTGAGAATGTCCCCCATGTAGGCAAGCTGATGAGGCAACCTCTCTCAGTCTTAGCACACAGCGCAGTCCACTTCCTTTAGAATAGGTAGTGCTTGAACGCTTATATTCTATAAGCAACACAGTTTTTTTCCTGGGCATGTCAGTGACTTGCTGGTCCTTGGTCTGTAGGTAAGGCAGGCAACCTCGGCAGATGTACTGGCCTCTCATATATTTATAATATCGAATTCTTTCTCTCAGTTTCATAGAAAAGCTAGCTTTGAAAGAACACTGTGTGTGTTGAGTGTGATGCTTAGCAGGATTATTGAGGTATAGTTTGTATACTAAGAAGTTCAGGCATAGAACTTTTAAGTATAAAATTGATGAGTTGCATATTTTCTTTAAAAAAAAATTATATGTCATTTCAGATGGCAGCAACAGGCTTGGGATAAATATTAAGTATAAGCAGAAGAGAGTGAAGAAAATCTTGAAGCAGAGATTAATGACACCATCCGCCAACTCAACTGCAAGTAGTTCTACTTTCAAATCTTTGGACTCTGCACAAGGCACTCTTTCAGAAATATGTTTCCCAAATGGTGAGAAAAAGATAACTGTGTTGTTTACACCTATATGAGAAGATAATGAATTGATATGGGATCCTGCACTGCGTCTTGGATAATATTTTCTCTTTAAAGCTAAATGCATGGGTGTTAGTATACACCTGAGTTCGCTCTTAACCAAGAATGTACAAAGAAGTACCTACATAATTTAATATTACAAATTTATGGGTGATTGAGAGGAGAGAAAAGATTCGTTGTTGAAACACAGGCTACTGCAAAAATGAAGAGAAGGGAAGAGAGGAGAAGGGCTGGAAAGGAGGGAGACAGGCATTGCTATGTTCTTAACATCATGAGCCTCTCCAAAAGACATGAGGTCTGTTCTTTTTGTATGAACAAAAAATAAAATAAAAACTAAAATCCGTGAGTACTTAAAAGCAATTATCAGAGATTGCTGAAACCAAAAGAAAAATTGGACATTGTCTAAGCCAAACTTGTCATTTTTATAAGAAAGGAATCTTAATCATGTAAGAGGATAATACCTTGGGAACGGCTCTCCAGCCCATCAGCAGCAGAGCTGCAGCCTTTGTTCAGGATTTCTGGCTCTCAAGGCTAGGTCACCTACTGAGATTGCTCTGAGCAACTTCCATGGAAAATTATATTTATAGGTAGAGAAAGATATGGGGATGTTAGTAGACTGATGAGAAAGTGTAGGGGAAAGGTTATTCCATAGGCTCAAAGTAAGGACAACTTCAGAACAAATTGATGCTGTGGTGACTCTGTTCTTTACTTCAAGTTGAATTATGTGCACTGTGTGTGTGTGTGTGTTTGCAGGCTCTAGCCAACATATACATATCTTTAGGTGCTTGTGATGAAGGCGCTAGGAACCATGACATAGAAATCATGGGTTCTAGGAACTGTGCCAGGGCTCAAAAGGCTAATCCTCCACCTATGAGCACCTCTGGGCACTGGTTTGTGGACCCGCTGCTCCATTCTCATTCAGCTCCCCACTTTTTCCTTTAAAAGGAAAAAAGAAGAGGGGTCTGGTGCAATGGCCTAGTGGCTAAGTCCTTGCCTCACACATGCCTAGCATCCCACGTGGGTGCTGGTTTGTGTCCTGGCTATTCCGCTTCCCATTTATCTCCCTGCTTGAAGACTGGGAAAGCAATAGAGGATGGCTCAAAGCCTTGAACCCTGCACCTGTGAGGGAGACCCAGAGGGAAGCTCTTGGTTCCTGGCTTCGGATCTGCTCATCTTCAGCCCTTGCAGCCACTTGGGAACAGTAGACAGAAGATCTTTCTGTCTCTCCTCTCAGTAAATCTGCCTTTGAAGCTAAATACATAAATAAATAAATAAATAAATAAATAAATAAATAAATAAATATTTTTTAGAAAAAGAAAAAAATAAGAAATCATGGGTGGTTATGGTAGTCCCTTAGCATACAATGGCTAAGGCTGAGTGGGAAATATTTTTACAAAAGGGTCTATTGTATGAATTCCCCCTACTGTCCCTAGGGAAAAATACAAAATGGCAGGACCAGGATTTTAATTATCTTGTACCAAGCAACAGCTTTGAGAGTCAGTGAACTTAGAACATGTGCTAACATTTTTAGATACTTCTATTGTGTACAGTGTTAATCTATGTAGTCAACTAGTCTCAACGGATGCCCCAGCTGAAAATGCTCTTTTTCTTTAATGCAGGTGACTTTGGTGAAGATCACTATGGATGTGAAGCTGCGCCTAGTTGTGTGAAAAGAATATTACCTGAGGACCTCGATGTGAATTCTAGTCACAAAGAAAGATGTTTTTCAATAAATCCTGGAATGGATATCTGCTTCCCCCAACCATAAACTTGGGGAAAGCATTGAAATGCTGAAGCAATTTTCTCTAACCTCATAAGTGAAATATTATTTTAGAAGGGGCAAAATGGGATGGCATTTAGTAACTGTAAGAATTAATCTACTCGTTGTGGTTATGTCCCTTATTTTGGATAGATGGGAGCTTATAATTATCATATATAAAGAAACTTCAAAAACTTTGTGGAAAATATACTTAAAATATGTTTTGGGTTTGGTGTTATGAATCAGCAGGTTAAGTTGCTGCTTGTGTCACCAGCATTTTGTATTTGAAGTGCCAATTCCAGACTTTAATGTTCCATATCCAACCTTGCTGCCAGCTAATGCACTTGTGGAGGCAGAGGATGGTCCAAGTCATCAGGCTCCTGCCGCTTGTGCGGAAGGCCCATATACAGATTCTGGCTCCTGTTTTCAGCATGGCCTGGTCCTGGCATCGTGAGCATTTGACAAATGATCGCTCAGGGAACAGCAAACAGTGTCCTTAGGAATACACCAGGAGAGAACAGCCTGAATGAAAAGGGCGGATCAGGGCTGAGCTGAACCGTAGGAAGAGGGAGGCCAGAGGACTCCACCAGAGGCAATAGGGTGATCCGTTGCTCGCTTGAATGATGCCAGTTTTGCTTTCAAGGGTTAAGCATGAAGGGACACCTTAAATCCTTCCCAAATACTTCCACTGAGATTTCCCAGCCAGGCATGTTGCTTAAATTGGCATCTGGAAGGATTTACAAGCAAATGGTTTTAATGGTTTCACCAATCCTTCTCCTTCAAGGGCAAGAACTACATAAGTGGGAATAAGGAAGGAAGGGAGACTTACTTTTCTATCCTATATCTTTTTGTATTTTTGGATCTTGTACTGAATACTATACAAATATATTATTTCATTAAGCAGTAAATAAATGAAAACATAATCAGAAAATTTCAGTGAGAAAGAAAAACTCGAGTTTCAATTACACACATTGTTTTCCACTGTGCAGTGGACTGTGGAGAGAGCAGAAATAAGTTCAAATCCCAGATATGTCATTTCTTTAATGGAGAAGTCATAACTATTTATACATCACAGTGAGGTTTTAATAAAATGAGGCCTAAATATTTTCTAACACAGCGAAACACAATACACTTTAAACTGCTTTCTCTTTCTACCCCTCATCTGCTTACCATGCATCCTCTCATGAACCCACTCACCATGTCTATCCCATTAAAGATGCAACCCTAGATATTTCAAGCAAAATTTAGCACTGCTAAAGCATCTAGAGTTGATGCTAGCCACTGGTAAAAAAACAAACAAACAAAAGACCAAAAAACCTCCTAGTCCCTCTTGCCCCAACTATCAATCACACACATACACACATACACAAGAATAGGTAGGTCCCTTGGCCCTTGAGTGTCTGTCATCAGAGTCAGTCCTCTTGCCCATGAAATTTTGTCCTGAAGAAATAGCACATTGTTCCCACATGGCTCCATATGTACCTTTTTTTTTTTTTTTTTTTTTTGATAGGGGAAGGTAGGGGTGTGTGTGTTTCTGTGAAGGAATGAGCCTAAATGATGGCAAAAGTCGTGAATGTTATATACATTTGAGCTGACAATATGATCATCTGTACGCAGAAGTAAGATTTAAGGACAGAAATGTAATGAGCAAATGTATGTATTTTGCAAGGGGTTGACTTGGAGAATCATTTTGACTGCTACAGTGCCCATAATTGTACATATTTTCAGCAAGCAATAGGACCCGGATTGTGCTTCTGCTGGAGTGATGGATGGAAAGCTCGTTTCTAATGACCTGACATGCTGTCAAGAACAGAATGCTATTTATTAGAAAAGTTCATGATTCCTGTCATGACTCCTCTTACTAATTAGTAAAATGTGAGTTTTTTCCTGCAAATTAGATGACAGCTTGAAACTGCAGGGAAAACACTGATTAAAGATTTTTTAGGTGTGCTTTGATTTGCTCTTTCTGGGCCTACAAAATGGCTGACACGTGCAGATAGACCCAAGTAATTAGGGAAGTGGGACCATAAGACCCATGGACTGCTTTCAATCCTCAGTCATCTCCCAAGTATTAATGGAGCCCTGACATGGAGGGACAGATATGAACTTATTACATTTAAACCTCTACTTCTAACAGCTTGCTATTTATCATCAGCTACACAATGAATGGTGAATGATTAAAGCAAGAGCATGGAGAAAAAATGGGGAAATATTTTTATAGGTAGGAAACAGTGCAGGATTAAATCTGGCTGGTAGTGCAATATTACTGATAGAGTTATAAGATGTAGGGGTGGGCAGCTTGAGTAGGACTAGGTTCCATGCATCAATACCTCAAGCAAATCATCTTATCCAGATGTGAGGACACAATGCAGTATGCATCTCTACTTCCAAATCAAAGATGGACTCTCAATGAAACTGTTGACAGTATCTTGATAATAGGATGCTGGACTGCCTGCCATTGTCAATTTCTGCAACATCAGGATACACTTAAATAGCAGAATGATGGACTTATGACTGTTTATGAAGGACTATACCATTGTAGTAATACAGGGGAAATCAGTGGAGGGTGGCAGAGGGATTTGGGAAGGGGGCAAGGGAAATCCCAGAGTCTATAGAACAGTATTACAAAATAATAAAAAAATGAAAACAAAAACCAAGGGGAGACACATGGCACTCAGGGCTCTACATTGGAGGATTCTGCTATGGTATTGAAAAAGGACCCTACATAGCTGATGAGCACATGGTCCAGGCCTGGGTGTTGGGCAGGCTAGTCAGGGTAGCTTCAACAATGGGCAAGTGTGTGAGTTGGTTTTAGAAAGGGGCGGACCAGGCAGGGCCAAGCAAACCATAGCCCACTGACAAGTGCAGAAAACAGGATGGAGTACAGGTCAGGCCATGCTAGGCTGCCACACCTACTGGCTTGCATGAGCCAGAGATGAGAACAGACTGAACAGGGCCAGGTTGCAGCACCCACCAACAAGAGTTGAGACTGGGGGGGCTGGCTGTGCCAGGCCAGGCTGCAGCATCTGAAGGCAAAGGCCAAGACAGGGGAGGGGCTGTGCCAAACTGGGTCAGAGCAACTATTGGCATGTGCAAGATCAGTGGCTTGGATCAGGCCTGGTTGGGGAGCTAAGGGGATGCCCTAACTGGGTTGTGGGTCCCACTAGTGAGTACAGGGTCAGAGTGGGAGATGTGTTCTGGTCTGGATATGAATGCAGCCTTCCTCAGCATGGTTGTGAACTGGATCTGGGGCGTGCAATCCTGGGCTAGACTCCAGGACCCATTGAAGCTTGTGAGAACCAGGATGGATGTAGGATGGGCTGGGTTAGGTCTCTGTCCCTGCTGAGCCATGTGTGAGCTGTGTCTGGATATGGACCAGGCTAGGCTATGCTGAAACAACCAACAATAAAGAACTGGAATGGATGAAGGCCTGTCAAGAAAGGCCACTAGGACAGGCATGGCTAGATAGAGAGTGGCACCTGCCAGCACATGTATGGGCTGGATGGTGGGGCTAGCTGGGTTGAACTAGGCTTCAATGCCCATTGACACCTATGAGAGCTGAATGGGATATGGGACAGACTGGACCAGTCTGCTGTACATTCTGGCAAGCATGGAAACCAGGGCAGAAGGCAGGCCTGAATGGGGATTATTGTGGGTTGCTCCAGCTAGGCTACAACTCCCACTGGTTTCCATGGGGGCCAAGTGTTTGGAGGGCAGGATTGGGCTGGACTGCAACACCCATTAGCTTGCGTAGAAGACAGGGCTGGAGATAACTGACCCAGCAATTGCAACCCAGTGTGCATGTAGGCTGCTTTGGGCGATGGACTGTGCCAGACCTAGTATTGACATGCACACACAAGAAGAAGATCTGGGATCACCTCAGATGAAGTTTCTTTGAGGATTCCCCCAGGTGAATTGCTGAACTGAGAACTCCAGCCATGGAGAGAATTTGCAGATTCCATAGCCTGTTCATGGAATGTATGCATCAGAACTGAAACTCCTCAGTGGCTTAGATGGAGCAGTGGACAGCATATCAAATGTAACAGGTGGATTTGGCAGTACACTGGAGCCTGCAGAGAACACCTGGTAGAGTAACAGAGGACAGAGGACAGAACAAATCTATCAACTACCCCAGCTATATGTTAGCAGTGAAAAACTGTACAAATGGAGACTCTACGGTGGACTTATGTCAGCTGGAGAGATTTCATCATGAGTGGAGTGACAATATTGGCAGCAATTCAGAACTGCTGAACTATCAAAACCACTTAAGCAGGACCCTCAGAGCATACCCCACATCAGGGATCCTGGTATGGTTGGGAAGCTGGGTATGGCTTCTCCCCTTATCTCTCCCCTTCCTCCAGATACAGGAAGGAAAAAAGAGAATGTGAAAGCAATGATCTCACCCACTTTCCTCTAGCTCTTGACCCTTCACACCCTAATCAAATATGTAAAAAGTATGAAAACTAAAATTTATAAAATAAAAAAGGACCCAAAAGAAATCAATAAGCAGTAGCATCAAATATTATAAATATTATAAAAGCATTTTAAATTAAATAGTAAATATTTACATTTATAAACACATTTCTTCTAAATGCATAAAACGGTACAGTGCTATGCAAATGATTATGTTAAGTTAGCAGAAAGTTGAGACTGTGAAATTCTCCTGTTTCCAACATTTACTTATGTTGTCCTAGTATTCATCATAGAAACAAACTTGAGAATTTTGTTTAAATCCTATACCACTTAGATTTGAGGAGAAGTCAGAGGGACATACTACATTAATAGTGTGAAGGCACTCAAGTCTGTGGATGAACTAGATAGATGGTTAGATAAGTAGATAAATAGTTTTCACCTTCAAATTGTTACCCAACTCATCCATCATGCTCAGTTGATTGTGGGCAGCAATGGGACTAGAAATGGAAATGAATCTGAGTTGCAGTGAATTTTGATGAAGGCCCAGTTCATGCAAGATTGTTTTGACTCTTCAGCCACAAATTCTCAGAGGAATG